TATTATTAATTAATTACTACTTTTGATATTTTAATTTTATACTATTTTTCTAATATTTTTAATATAAATATACTCAAAATATTCTTTTAGGATTTGAATATTGATATAACCTTATTCAATAACTTAAATAGAATAGATAGAAGATTTGGATTATATTTATTATAATATTTTTTTGATAAAACAATTTCTTTTTTCTCTTTTATTAATAAAAGATTTTCTTTAAAATAATTGAGGAATATTTTTCTATAATATAAACTGTTATAAATAATTAATCAAATAGGAAGAATATTAGCTCTTTAAATTATCTCAATTTTTGTTTAAATATACTTACCCTTTAAAATGGAATTTATTATATTATTATTAATAATATCATTTTTAATATTAATTTTTATATTAATTTCTTTTTCATTTATTAAATCTTTATTTTCTATTTGATTTTTCAAAATTTGCAAAGCTTGAAACTATTTCGCTTTTTGATAAGATAATAAAAAATGTCTTTTTGTTATTTTCTATATTGAAATAGGAGTTTTATTTATATTAATATTAGATTCTTTTAGTATTATAGGATAGAATCCATTGGAATCAAAATAATAATATAGAATGAATATATATACTATATTGATATATTTTAATTCTCTTTTCTTTTAATCTATTTTTTATTATATTTTTATAATTAATTATTTTCTTATATTCTAAAAAACAATCAGATCTATATTATAGATATTAATACTTATAATAAGAATAATAATAATAATAGTGATATAGATAATTAATATTATCTTTATAAATTTGTTATATCTTATTGTTTAATCCTTTATATTAATCTTCGAATAAAATGAAATAATAATATTTATAATATTAAAACTTTTATTTTTTATTTCAATAAAATATAATATAATTTTGCCTTTCGTTTTTTTTAAAAAAATGTTTTGAAAATAGTTTTTTATTATATTAATTTTATTCCTAAAGTTTATGAATATTATAATCTTAGAAATTTTCTTTAGAATTGGATTTCTATTTTTATTTATAATATTATTTAAAAAATAATATAGAAACTTTAAAGATTTAGTTTATTTATAAAAAATAGAGATTATTATTAATAAAATATTTGAATGATTAATAGATATATAAATAATATATATTTGATATAATTGAGAGTCTAATCTTTGAAATCCTTTATTATCTAAGACTACCTTTTAGCTTTTTGTATTCAAAATAGTAGTATATTCAAACCATATAATTTCTTGAGATAAAAGATATTATAATTATTTTAATATAATGAACTTGGATCGAAAATCCTTTTATTACAAGATAAAATGGTATTTATCTATAACTATAAGTTTAATATTAAACTGCAATTTAGGAGATACAAATGTATCCCTAAATTTAAATAAAACTACTTATTTAGAATTTAAAAGAATATATATATATTTTAATTAACAAATTTGATTGATTATTTCAGCTTTCTTTTTTAATAACTCAAAATTCAGAAAATAAAATAATATTCCAAAAAGTTTTTTAATATTCTCAAATTACTCCTTTTTAAGCTTTATTAATAGAACTATTTAAAGAATAATCTTTTCTATCAAAATAGAGTATAAATAAAATATCAAACTCTTTCTAAATCTAATCTTAATAATACAAAAAGTATTACTTTTCCTATAAATTAAATAATACAAAATCCGAATTTGTATAAACTTAGGTTTTCGAATAACAATAGGATCTAGAAATCAAAGGATTCTTTTAAGATATAATTCAATAAACTTTTCTTATTTTTCAATATATTTCTTTATTCCTCCTTCTTTAATTATTATAGACATATTCTTCAACTCAACCTCATAAATTCGTTTTATATATTTATCTAATTCAATTATCAATACCGTTAGCATACTGGATACAATTAATACAATCTCATAATCATTCTTCAGCTTTTTAGCTTTAGCTTATTTAGAATGTCCATTACCTTTCCTCCGTTTTGGAGATATAGTGACAGGAATTCCCAAGATATAGCAAAAGGTTTTAGAAGATAATAGAAATCTATAGAAGATAACAGAAGTTTGTAGGAAACCTTATGAATTGATAAATGTTTATAGAATATAATATAATTCAATAATAAGTTAAATAGAAGCTAATAGGAAGTAATAAAAGTTTTTAGGAATTAATAAGAATGAATATAATAGAATTTTTTTTTTATAAACTAATAATTGAATATACATTTCACTTTTATTTTAATTTTATTTCAATTTATTTACAATTTATATAGTAAACTTTATTTACATTCAAAAGCGATTTTAATATATTATATAAAAACAAAGGATTATTATACTATTATTATTATTAAAAAATAGCATTCAATCATTTATTTCTTAATAAAAATAATACTAATGAAAATATAAATAATATAATGAGATTGCTAGAATCAAAAGGATTCTTAGGATATATATGGTTATATAAATTAATAAATAGAAATGGTAGATTAAAAAGAGGAAATAATTATTGTTACAAAATATTAGTTTTCAAAAATATATATTTTCGATATATATATATATAATTGAATAAAACTATTATAATAAAAAATATATCAAAATAATAAGAAAATCTATTTGTATATATTGAAACTATACTAAAGTGATACAATTATCGAGTGATTTATAATCTTTAATTAAAAAATCGAAAAATAACGAATTATTGGTTTTCTCATCAAAGCTGGAACCAAATTGTTTTAGACCCTACGGTGATAAACCTTCGGGAGGCCTCTGCCTCGAAATTAAGGCCAAAAATTATGTAATCACCGTGTGGTCTGAGGATGAGATAACTAAGCGAAGACGACGACAGTGGACATCAATAGTGTGACTCGAAGATGCTCCCGGTCATAATTAAACAGGATAGTTCCCAAGTCAATAAAACATTCTCGAACAGATACGTGGCTCGTAAATCGGACTTTTGACTAGAAGTCATGCTTAGTCAAAGAAGGTGCATAGTTTGGAAACCAAGCCAAACCAACAAATTAGCGTTCGCACAAATGCTCACCGTAGGAAATGATCAAAGGAACTCTGAAAATTTTGCTTCACTCATCTATAAGACATCCAATACCTCAATACCTCGATTTCACGATCATCGCCTTGTCGTACACTGAATGTCATCCCAGTGCCTCAAACGAACGTTACGATGAACTTCACCAACCCATTTCCCATTGATGTCTCTTTTACATCTATGATGAACTGCATAGATAAGTTTACTCGATAGATCTTCAGGACTCAGACGAGCTCAATCTGTATCCTTGACTCCGCATATCCTGGACAAAATAGACTAAAAGTGCCTTCCGCGACATGGAGCTTAATTGTAAGCGTTTTTGTTGGCATTCCTGTAAATCTTATATTAATTATCATCTACAAGATAATTAGAAGATATATCAGACTCCCATTCCTTAACGCAGGTTCAGTCAATGATAGTCCGGCCTCTTCCATCCCCAAGTCGGAATCAGACAGTGAATTTACTGTTCACTCCATGCGGAGGCGTCTTCCGCTTGCATTGTTCTCGGTATTCAATATTTTTTATCTAGTCTACTCGAACTACCGACAATCATTCATCGATCGAAATATACATCATGTATGCGAGGAGTTTTTTGGCGCTACTTGTATCCCGACCGATGGCTATGCAAGATGGGCAGAATTATCTACCCAAATAGGTTTTGGAAGAGCAGTTACAGTCTATTTTACAGTCTATTTTACAGTTTTTATTACAGCCAGGATTATTATGCGATGCCTTTTTGGGGAACCTATAATATTAACGTTATAGTCACAGGCCGTTCATGCGAAGAGATATTTCATACCATTATTGGATATCTGTCATGGAGAAAAGGCAGGCTGGGCAGTCAGGATGTTATGAGTCATCGTACTTGAGAGATTCGCACTGGGTGAAATAATTGGGCTTTTGTTGGAAATAGGTCCGAAGGAGGAAAGAGAAAAGGTCTGGGGTTCTCCGGGATAGAAATAATATGAGTGGTTGTGTGGCACGAACTTCCAAGGTCATAAAGCCAAAAACGTTAACGGATACAAGTGTCACATTATGTTCAGAGTTGGCGCTTGTCTTAAGTTTTATAAAATCTGTCTCCCATGCCTGGCTTATCATATAGATTCTTTGTACTTATATTCAACGTTGATGCTTTATCCAAGTATGAATAGTCTCTACCCAAGTCGAAGTGATCTTCCTTCAGTGTGGAGCAGGTCTAGGACTGAAGCTGAGAATCATAGTTAGTGAGGGGTCTTTTGTGCAATGAGAGAATAACTTGAGGTAAAATCTGATAATAAGTGTGCTGTGGTTAATACTGAAGCCTTGAACCAACATGTCGACAATACTGTTCGTCGCTTTTCTACACTAATGCAGTGGAGAAATGATCAGTTCCTTAAAGAGAAACTAGATATCACAAAGCCAGATGACAGAAATTATCTTGTATGTAAGAAAAAACAGGATCATGAAATGGACTTCACTCTTTAATGATACTTGTTCTGCCAATCTCAAGATGATGTTACCATTATGTTTTGAGATGTATTTAATGATATAAATTCGGTTTCTCACAGATAGAAATCAAATATGAGAGTATGGATTCGTCTAATAGATACTCAGTTTCAATTGAAAATTCACTCCAAAGTTTCATTTTTGTTCCACTTAATCTCTGCTATTTAGCCCATGACTTTAACTCAGCTTCCCGACCTGCAACCTGCACACCTGGTTCACATCATTCTTTCCGATCATCAACCTTTACTTTCAATACAATGGATAACGACGGCATAATCCGCAATTACAATGCGAATCATTCACGAGTCTAGTCAAGCATATACATACCTCTTTATCGAACTTCTCGGGATAGGTTGAAACGAGCCAAGCCTGTCCGTTACACCGATGATTCTGAATTGGAAAGAATCTGTAGCTGGCCCGAAAAATATACAAGAGAACATCAGATTGCTGATCTGTCATTGCACGACGAGGCAGAATATGCGATGACGGCGGGCGACTTCTTCGACCGTGCACCATCCACCAATAGTTGCTTGATGTCTGCAAGTCAAAAAAAGTCTTCTGGTTCTTTGAATGTTGGTAATGGCAAAAAACTTGATACATTTACTTGTTTTCCGCGTCTCACTGCAGAATTGCGCTTGAAAATCTGGAGAACTATGGCCTTTATGTCTCATGTTGTTGCCTTGCAAGAAGAGTTTGTTTTAGATTCAAACGGCGAGGAAAAATTATATCTACGAACGATAAACACGGTTGCCAGTGTGCTGCAAATTAATCATGAATCTCGTACAGAGGCTTTGAAATATTACAGGCATTCTTTTGGAGCCCAAAAATACTTTCATACAATACAAGGAACTTACAATAAAAAAGATCCTACTATTGGTGAGCTCCTCATCCATGCAAATCTCCGAGCAGACACGATCTATTATGACAGATGGTATATTATGCGGAGTTCCAGAACGGGTGGAACTTACAGTTTCATGTCTGCCATTGGAAACATGAGAGATATCTTTAAGCCTGCGCACAGCATTGCTTTTGATGCAACTGATGCGAACTCGTGGGAACGCTTTGCATTTATCTACGATTTGATTAGGGAATGTGACGCCATCGAAGAAGTCCTATTCGTCGTTAGAATCAACCGTGGTCCGACAGAATGCACATCTTATGAGCACTGGGAATTGATGGAACTAAACAAAGACGAAAATCGTGTCTGCTATGAGAGATGTTTAGGAGAGTTCATCGAACTTTGCGACGCGGCAGATATCCGATACCAAAAGCTCCATCGTGACGAAGGTGCGAGCAAGGCTAAAATAGGACGTCTTGGAGGTCCAAGAGTCAGAATCGTTGGATTGACGACAAACGGTGTACGAATTTGAGATACCCCATGAGTGTGCGCGAGCGATGGAAGCTCTCTATCGGGAATTCGTCTCTAGAGTATGAATATCGTCAGTATCCTAGGAAAAATTGTTGTCAATCACGAAGGTCTGCTAGAGCCTTGCTAAAGAGCAAGCTGCATGCAAGATGGTAGGTATTTAGACTAGATGGTTTGGGCTCAACTATCAAGCTTTGGGCTCAACTGTCAAGCTTTGGCTTGCTCTTTGCATGGTAGAGAATAAAAAGGACGCCTATGCTTTCCTTGGTGGGTTGAAGGTGGGTGGAAAAAAGATACTTTAAGCTGTACGTTATCAATCAATTCAATCCCACTGTTTGCATTACAATCGTGATAGGATGTGTTTCGACGACCTTATCGATTTTGTTTACAAAGGTGAGGTTTCAAAGATGTTTCCACGTCACTAAGATGAACTTAATGAAGTCTTGAATTTAAAAGTTATGTAGGCATCCCGTAAGTAGGTATGATCTGTTAGTGAAGTAAACGGAGTCTTTATTAGACCATGCACATGTATCTTTAAGCTTTATCTATTGACGACTCTCATTTCACATCCGCAACTGTCATGACTGATATAAATTATCATATATGCACATAAAAAGGTGTAAAGGGTTGAGAAAATTGTTATCCTAGTTGAGAAATGCAAAAATTTCATCTGAATTAACCTCCCATCAGAGTCTACATATCCCTAGAGTATTTTCAAGATCTATATCTAGACCAAAAGTGTATCAAAAGTAAATGAGATAACATTTGCAACATCCCTGAGTGCAACTTCTATACCCTCAGCCCCAAAATATCCGAATATCAAGTTTGAAAGCCATCACTAGGATCTTTCTCTCAAACTTCATAGAGAATCTTCTCTGAATTTGCTACACCCTCGCCTTCATGCTGTAGTCCCGTACGTCTTACTGATTCTATCTCTGGAACAGAGCCAGGTAGCTCTGCAAACCCTTCTGGAATCTCTAGTTCTTGCAAAGTACTATGAACTCTTGGAGGCTTCGGAGTCCTTGGAACCCTATGAATCCCATCAGCTCTACTGTCGTGTACCTCTCGCTCAACAACATTTTCCCGGCCCATCTCGGCCATTAGACCGCCCAAAGAACCCAAGTTGGGAGGAATATATTCGGTAAGTGGTGGCATTCTTCTTCCTCTTCGTCGACGATGCTTTCGCAGAAAGTACCAGCCGAGCATGTAGATACATAATAGGAATAGCACAACAGCACAAACACTCAAGATTATAGTGGTGTTATGTAGATGACGAGCGCTGTCTTTATCTGCCTTGTCTATAGCGGTTTGTTCCGCGGGTGAGATTGTGATAACAGCAGTGTAAGCACCGGGAGTTAAGTTGGCAGCGCGACTCTCTTGGCTAATGGCCGATTTCAATGCACCCTTCAATATTGGATCTGTCGCGGTTACGGCAATTGAGTTCCAAATAGAGATCTCACTAAGAGCAATTGCAGTTATTCCACTGGGTGGTATTGTGGGTTGTGCGATGGAAGTCAAGGTTCTAGTGGTAGATGATACGATATGAGTTACCGTTGATCTCATAGGTGTTTTCGTCGGTACAACACCCAGCGTTGAGGAGGGGACGATAATTGTTGAGGTGTGGGTGACTGTGATGAGTCTTCTTAATGGTTTGATTCCGCACTGGTTTGGGTCAAATATATCTGTTGGAATCTCTGGTACAGATGTATACCCAGAACTGGCATCCTGACCATCAGACAATCTTTCACCATCAGGATCCGTACTAGTAAAAGCCTTTCTGAATAAGTAACGAATCGCCATCTGTAACAGTTAGCTAGACTGGCCAAAAACCTCCTAGAACATTTCGCAGGGCTAACCTTTCAAGAAGTTTGAAGATGGATACAGGGAGAGTTAAGAGCCAAAAAAAATTCTTGAACCGCAAACTCAAGTTCCGCTTAGTGAAAACTCTGATCTAAATAATTCACCAATTTGTTGGATATCAAAATCAGTCACTGAGTATCAACAATCGTCTGATCTTGCTTGATCTAATACTCGGTTTCTAAGACGAAGCGAACAGCTTTTTAGCCTCGCCGCTCTATTCAAGTGAAAGTTGTCTGAGAGCGCTGCTCCATATCATACGACGGATAGAAAAGTAGTGAAATTCACCATTCAGCATTCTCAAGATATTGCCTAAGATAATTCTACTGTATCGAATGCAGAGAAAACCGCAGTGCTGGCGCAGAACCCACTCTTCCTGCGCATTCTTTGGCTCGAAATCCAATGACCTGGTACTGGAATTCCTAAGCTTGATCTCTTAATATGCTTTGAATCTTTCTCAAAAGGCAAAATCGAACAGACAAGTAGGGATCCACGTCTCCTTATCAGTTCTACAAAGTTTAGTTCGAGTGATCAACTTCTATTAAGAATATTGTCTCATCAGTCCGTTCGGCTAAAATCTGTTAATAGTTTGACGTAATGTATCATTGCTAGTGACCTGCGTGCAATCCATCCATCGACACGGATCCTTTACATGAACAGCGAACCCACTTAGAAGGAAAGTCTATAAGTCTTTTAGATTTAGTTGTAAATAGCAGTAGCAAATGAACTTCAAATCATCACACAAGCCTACCAAAACTTGAAGTCTTTCTCATCTTCTACGCCGCAGATTCTGCACATAGATACCCGTCAATCTAATGTCTACCATTGCTCATCCCATCCCTCGCGTCAACTCTCTAGTAAATTGTTTCTCATCGTCTAACCCTGGCAATCAAAACTTATTATCTATTCTAGTTGGAGGCGAGGGGTATCGTTGTCGAGATCTAAAGCAGACAAAATGGCATGCGAATAAAAAACCCCCTGAAGACGATTCCTTGAGAAGCAAAGTATACTAGGCTAGCTGGCAGGGCGAGTGGAAGTACAGTGTTGTTGATGTGACTCGAGATGAAGTGGATACCGCACATTCGAGCTTAAGGAGACATCTATTTATCCAATAGAATGCTACACGAGACACCGAATAGTAAGCAAGACCGTACGCTTAATGTAAAACAGAGTGAGTCAAGTTCTATGAGATAAATTGAAATGGAGTAGCAAAGCCGAAAGGAGGTAGGAATATCTGAAGGATAAACTGGATTCATCTACCAGAATAGTTGCGGGACCCTGAGGGCTTGCAGTATGGCAATTTGATGCCCCAGAAATGTCGGATAAAGCAAAACTTTATAGAGGACATGAGAATCATTTTTACCGAGTCAAATTTGACGTAGAGGATTTCACAACCAGTTGCTTGTACCGATGCGAGGGAAAGAAATTAAAAGCTCAACTGGCTCCTGATGCTCTCCGCTACCTCCTTGTTCGAGTCCAGAAAGACTATTCCCCTCAATATCCTGGCGAGGATACCCAAGTTTTCCCTCTCCTGTTATCTCATGAACAGGATCCTTTCCGTCATCTTTCTCAGGAAGTATTAATTGGTCATTTCTAGCTTTAGTTGCGATTCGGTGTCTCAATTGATAACCACGAAGGAAGTAGTAACCTGCGAGAAGCATACCCACAAAGATAAACCCCCGCAAATCACCTGCGACAATTGCCGTTGTGTTTTTATGAGTGGTTTCGATAGATGATTGAGTTGGTGATGGAATGGACACTGTCTCTCGAACCAACGACTGAGAAACTGACGTATCATTGAATTTCTGAGTCGATGAAGGTATAGCTACTGTCTCTTGCATTAATGAACGAGAGGCAATTGCCGTTAACAAAGGTGGCTCGATAAACGATGAGTCGGATGCTGCAATTATTGTCTTGCTGACATTTATGTAGAGATATATTGAAGATGCGCTTTCAGCGCTTATGTATGAAACATAGCTCGAGGCTATCACGGTGCTAACTGACGTCACAGTAGTGTACGATGGCTCATGCAAAGTTGCAGTCGCTATTGTCTGGACTATACTGGTCCCCGTAGAGGTTTTTTCCGACATGGTAAATTTTAGTTCGATGAAAGTAGTATGGAGATGTGAAATAAATATACCGTAAAATGGCAGCTCTCAAGCTAAGGACGTGTGTGTGAAGAATTGATTGAGACAAAAAGGCTCTAGAGTGGATTTGAAATATTTTCTAGTTCATCAATTCTATCGCAATTTCACAAAAATTTCATCCTGCATGTTCTAGAGTTCCAAGTCGAGGTTCACAGCATGCTCAGTCGCCAAAGTTTCTCTAAAAGCTTGTCAGTATTCCCACATGACACGATCGGGGGCGATTCTCCCCAGAATCCTTTTAGTCATTTGCTACCGTTAAACTAGACTAAATGAGGAACTTCAGACCTTGCATCTATTGAATGATTGCTCACAAATATTCAATGTTTGATTTGCGGATCTCAATTTCTGATGTGCTAGTAGTAGTGTGATGAGCGCAAACTTCGAGGCAAAAATGGTACACGATACGAGGCTTGTCTCTGTACACCTGTGCAAAAGCATAGTTTCATCTTCCTACTCCACCCTTCAATCATAATCCTTGCGCCCCCATCTCAAACCTTTCTCTATTTAGTGTAGGACTTTCTATCTCAGGCGGTTCCATATTCATTCTTGGACTTTCCATCTCCGCTCTGAGCATTTCTCCTCCGATCTCAGGTCTATTTCCGCTCTTCTCCATTAACTCGTGCATGTGATCACTAGGATCTCTCACATCAAAACGCGGTTCAGTTTCTGACAGTACAGCGTGTCTTTTTCTATGTCTACGGAAGAGCCAGATTGTGAGAATTATTACGGCAAGGCCTCCGATAGTACCGCCTACTATTGTGCCAGTATTGTTATGAGAAGAATTGACTTGGTTTGACGCTACGTTTGTTGTTTGTTGGGATGTACTTTGCGTTGAATTGGAGCGAGAGCTTGATGAGGAGGTAGTCAATGAAGTAGAAGGACTTGAAGTTGATCGTGGACCAGAAAATATTGAAGCTGCAATAAATCCAGATTTCAACGATGAGGTAACCAATATGTCGGAAACTGATGTCGTTCTGGCTAGCACGCTCATCGGAGTGTCTAGTGCTGATGCAAAAATGAGTACTGGTGCTGTTTGCGAGGTACTGTTGCAGGTATATGAAGTCTGAGTGCCAAGACTGGGGCTTGATTGATCAGACAGCAAGTAGCTTTGGCAGTGGTCTGTGGAACTATGTAGCTATTAGTCCCTTTCGTCCACTTCAAACAGTGAAAGAACCTACCAAGATAATGATACTGTGATAGCATTTACATTAGAATTGACATTGGGCGTACACAGTGTAGGCAATAGTATATTACAATAAAACTGTGGCGCGTATTAAAATATTGATATATATTGAATTCTAATATTTTAGTATATTACTAACAATATCAAAAGTTTAAATAATATTGAATATCTTTAATAATATCGAATTCAATATCACGTATGTATATATTTCGAAAAAAAATCGATATGCACTACTAAACTAGCCCGTATACGAAATACGGGAAATACTATTGCCTACACTGGGCGTACACCCATCAGTGCATCCAGTGTCGTCTACACAAGCACCATAAAGCGAACAAACTGGAATGTTGCTACTATAGATACAGGAACCCCCAATTCCCAGAGGATATGCAGTTGTACAGGTTGAGTCTGTTCCCATATACAGAGGAGATTGGGAATCTCCATAGTAGTATCCACAACTAACGCGGCCCTGGCCTCCTTGACGGCGACTGATATCAGGAGCTCGAGTCAAAGGAGGGGAAAGAGGAACATCAAAGACACTTGAACTACCTGGGCTCGATTTCTCGTCCATTGATTGATCCCGTGAAGCTCCGCTTTATGACGTTGTACAGATCCAAACCAGAGAATGTGGAAAGTGAACGCCTTGTAGTAAGCTGATAAGTTTATCGACGAGCGTTTGCTATTTTCCTTCGGCTCTGCAGCAGATATAATAGAGTTGAGTGTGAAGAACAAGCTTTCTTAACGGCAATTAGGAAGGAAAAGAATCATAGAAAGACTTTCTTCGCTTAATAAAATTACAATAGCAATTGGTCGTTCCACTCGTGAAAGATGTCGCAGTAGGTATCCGGCTAGACTGGCAACCAATTTATCAGTTATCACTGACAATCAATAGCCCTCAATTATGAACCAAGAACATCTGGGAAGCTCCGCTAACAAATCGAGTATCAATCAAATGACAATCACCGTTCCCATCAAGATTAAGATGGGGAGTAACATGATGCGATAGAATCTCGATGGTCATAGCTGAGGCTCAGCAATCTTCTTTAGTAAACTCAAGATATACCAACGGTTGGTTTTACCAGAAGGAGAAAACCGGTGTGGCACTACATATCTAAGTAAGACATGCATAAAAATCAAAAGTGAGTTGTTTATCGGTGAAGCTCCAAGATTTGTAATGGCGCAGAGGAAGAGCCCGAAAACTCGGTTGCACAAGGAACCGAAGTCGGATAGGTTCCCAAGTACTCTATTTAGAATCATGAGCTGGAAGTTGATGTAATACCAACCTCTATATTCATTTTGTAGAACCCATGAGAAAAAGCATTCTCGTCTACAACAATCACGGTAAGACAAGTCATAGGTAGTTACAAAAAAAAGGTTGGGGACGTGATGCCAAGGTCAACCCTGTACGCAAGCCTTACTATCTTGTTGTTACGCTAGTCATGAAGCGATCAAAGTAATACACATGTTGCACATAGTCGGTATCTGACTGAGTCACATGAGAATTTACCAATAGAATTCTAGAAAGATTAAGATCAAATTAGTCCTTGCCACATGACAATTCTTTTAATTCTTTTAATTCTAGTCATTCTAGTCATTCTAGTCATTCTAGTCATTCTAGTCATTCTAGTCATTCTAGTCATTCTAGTCATTCTAGTCATTCTAGTCATTCTAGTCATTCTAGTCATTCTAGTCATTCTAATCCCTTTTTTTCATCGATCTTTTTAATCTTATAATTCTTTTAGTTGATTATTTTGATTGATTATTCTAATTAAGTATCTTAATTACTAATTTTAATTAATTTCTTTATAATTTTATTTTTATTTTTCTTTTCTATATAAATCAAATCATTTATTGTTAATTTTCTTCTAGATTCTTATTGATCATCACTTTTCACATAAATTTTTTTTTTCAATTACACTCCTTTCGTTATAAACCCACCATATCAAAAGATCGATTAGTGATTTTAAGATTCGAAAAACATTTTGAGTTAAAAAAGCCGTATGAAGTACCATGAAGTACCATGAAGTACCATGAAGTACTATACTACATACCTACAGTCTCTCATCCTACAATTCAATCATCTTCAAAAATTAGCCAAATACTAATTATAGACCTCGAAATTCTCTTTTAAACTCCATCAAAACCAAAATACAAAGCTTTAATCTTCCGTATATGATCGAAGTAATCAGCCAATCAATTTAACGCTTCATCTTCGGCTGATCAAAAGAATTCAGTCGACGGCCAGAAGGTTGTCAGTAAGCCACAGAGCTCTTATAGATAAGATGGCTTTTTGGTAAGTCATCGACTAGATTTAGATACATGATGCTATAGATTCTAAATACATAATGACTCCAGAAAGAGATTGAAATAGAAGAATGCATTCTAGCTAAGACCAGAAAACTTCTCCTCAGGTGAATAAGTGTTATGACATTAAAAGTCTTAAAGCGACAAGTGACAGAACTTCAGTACATCAACTATGTGATAGTTTATCCCTAGTCCTCATCTGTATCTACATCTTCGGTCCACCAAGGCTGAGAGGAAGCCTCCTTAAACAGACTTAAGTGATTTTCTCGTTCCGCTTCCTTCTCATCATTCTCCAATCTCAACATACACAACTCAAGCATTGGAATATTTGCATTCATGACTGTTCTTGGCTCCTCTAAAGCCTTTGTCCCGTTATCTTTGAAGTTTTGCAGCAATATCATTATATCCTTGTGCAAGTATGTTGACTGCATGGCAGTGCTTTCGATTCCGTTGAGCTTCTTACATGTGGTACTTGCCCCATGCTTCAATAAACACACCACGGAATCATACGCACCATAATAGCATGCGGCCATGAGGGGGGTTCCCTGAGGTTCACTGACAAGATTAATCTTAGCACCATGGCGGATTAGAAGCTCCATACACTCCACCCTTGAATTGATTTTCTTTCCCATTGCTGCTAAATAGAGCGGCGCGCCATCTTCTCCAGCGTGGTTCACGTATTGTTCTACGTCTCCTGAAATCTTGAATTCGCGGCTGGGCAGACTAAAAGTTCACTGTTAGTTCTTTAACGCTGGGCCAAATGTAACTGTCAATAACTGATAAGAACAAGAAACATACACAGAGACTATTTTTGAAAAGCTTTGGGCTGACGCCTGGCTTAGCGTCGTGCCCAGCCTTGGATGTCGAATAACATCACTTTCCGGTAAACGTTCGAGAATGAAGTCTTTTTCGAGATACTTCAAAGCTGTAAATAAGACTGTTACTCCTGCATGGTCTTCCATGTTCAAATTCATACCCAATCCCATCAAAGTATGTACCATTTCAGGGCTAGATCTTTGAATAGCAACTGACAGTAGATCTTCTCTGTTGTACAGATCAGTCTCTAGGCTTGCTCCAAACTTGTGCAAAAGGACAACTGTATTTGGCGCACAATGCGTCACGGCCAATTGGATTGGACTTTGCTTTCCGCCGCTTAAAGAGTTGACGCTTGCGCCAGCAAACATCAATGCCATAGCTACTCTTAAATTTCCATTGAGCAAAGCATGATGAAGCGCTGTGTCTCCATATTGATCACGAGCTTCTAGATTTGTACCATGTGAGAGAAGCTCGTTTATGACCCGAAAGGAGTCATTTGAACAGTTTGCCGCTAAGTTTAGTGCAGTAGCTAGAGGCTCGTGCCTAAGTCTGAGACTGCCATTGTGCTCTGCAAAAAGTAATGGTGCCGAGAGATACTCAGGGTGAGTGATCACTCTATGCTCGGCCTCGAGGCAATTCTTGTTACGACTTTGGACAGCTAGCCGATGAAGAAGGATTCTAACACATCCTGCATGGCTATTCAATACCGCCGTATGCAATGCACGTAATATTTGTGGACTGGAGGGTTGACTTCTATTCAAGATCTTTTGTACAAGTTTTGAGTCTCCAAAACCGGTGGCAAGATCAAGAGATGTGGAACCTTCCAGAGATTGTCGGGATTTAAGAGTTTCAACGACTATACTGCCTCGTCGTGGGAGCCCTGGAGGTAAAAGCTCTGTGATAGTTGTTGCGGTGCAAGATTCCATTATAGCGCCTTTAACTGTTACACCAGCATCAACGAAATGATCTGCAAGTTCGACGAGCCTGTCATGGAGGACCGCTAAAAGAATTGTGCACCCGCAACTACATGTGCTTCCCGGGTTCCATCCATTCTTGGACAGTGCTTTGACATAATCAATATCGTCACACAGTATAAATCTCTCCGAAGCAATGTGGATGCGATTATCTGTGCCAATAATATCTTCACTTTCTTCAACAACTCTCTGGAGGGGAGCTAACTAGAGTTCAGCAAGAATTAATGCCAAGTTTTTGCTACTTAACAATAGCTTTGAGCCATAGATGTAACTCTTGAATCAGATTATATATTGAAAGCACTTACCAGCTGATGATAGTGAGTTCTCTAGCGCTTGAACCATGCTATCATCTTCATAATTCAACCATGCAACCATATATGGAGTCTATCCATCCGCATCGGCTAAATGGGGATCGGCTCCATGAGACATGAGCATCTCAATAACAGAAACATTCTCCGCAGCTACAGCAACGTGTAATGGCATTACTTTGACTGGACCGTAGCATTCATTGGCATCAGCTCCATGTTGAAGGAGCATCTTCACTACGCTCTCTTGGTCGCCAAATATAGCAAAGAATGTGGTATTAGACCAAGGCTAACTCGTGCATTAACCTTGAGATGTTTTTCAACTATTCCAAATTCTAAAGCTTCAATATTGCCTCTGTATGCTGCTACATGTAATACGCTGGTACCGAGAATTGGCTTTGAGTCCCATATGCCAGAATAAGAACTTTGTTCATTGGGATCAGAAGTGACACCTGATACCCAACCTCCCTCAAAACGTTTCTCCCTGTGTTCAATGGCCTCTGGAAGCCAGTCGCTCAAGCCTTTAGAATCGCCCAATCGGCACATAGTTGCCGTTTTTAGCAAATTCGAGTGGATGGTATGGTAGGTCAAGGTCTCCAAATCTATACATCTCATTTGAAAGGTGAGCTCCATATGCTAGAAAAAGCTCCACAGTACTCTCTTCTCCTCCTACAATAGCTAAAATAATAGGCGTATATCTGTTCTCATTTGTTGTTTCAGTACTCCATCCTGCAGAGAGTAATTCTTCTGTTACAGCGATCGACCCATATAAGCAGGCCAAATGTAGCAAGGAGTCGTCTGTGCATTCATACAATCCCTCAGGTCTTCGGCAAGAAATTATGGATCGAATCAGCTCTTGATTTTCTGATGAATCTATGCAAAGCAATTCAAGAGGAGATTGATCTACTCCATAGATTTTTCCACAAGCTCTGACGTCTATGTCCATATCAACAAACTTCTGACTTAGTGCATCATATCCGTTGTCGAAACTTATGTTTAAAAGAGACCGGCCATCAGGTAGAGCGCTATTCACGTCTTCTTTGGTGGCTAATCTCAACAACTCTAGAGAAAAGGTTTCAATAGAAGGGGAGTATAGGTCATCATCCAACCGGTCGAAAAGTATATGTAGTGCCGTTTTATTATTATCATTAATAATGCTTAACAAGGCCGGATTGGAAAGTTTTCCGGAACTTTGACGTTTCCGTAGTTCAAGCGGTAAAATGAACTCGTTACTCAGAGTTGATAAAGAAGGAGAACTTTCTTATAGCTTGGCGTTCAGTATTTTATATCTATATGATTCAATGGAATGGTTGTTTGGTTTGAAACATAGTAAGATTGGTGTGGGTTCATACAGAAGAATGAGAAGTGCCCCAAAGTGATGCGGGAGAAATGCCACTTCACACATATAGTGAAGTGCAGTGTTTCCTCTGGCATCTTGGCTCAAAACATCTGCTCCACGGCGTATCAAGAGATTAATCGAGTTGTGTAGGGTAGTCCAGTTATCCCATTGATCGGGTTTATCCGATTTCGCCAACTCTTGACAGAGAATAACCAATGGGGATCTTCCTTCAGCATCTTTCGGTTCTAAATTTATACCAGGCCTAGAAAGAAACATTTGAAGCGCCTGGAACATCTGTTGCGGGTAACTCCAGCGCTCGTGTATGATATATAGTAAAACTGATAGGCGTGGCTCAGTCGGGTGGTCTAATGGATGGATTGAAGGCGAAGACCATTTGCTTACAGTATCCTGTATACAGGCAGCGTGGTTAACAATTGAGGTATATTGGAAAAGATTTCGAGCACTAGACGGGTTTAGTAACAATTCTCGTTCCGTAAACCACATCATAGCTCGAAATAATTCAATGTTATCGCAAGCTGCTGCTATGTGTAGAGGTGTGAATCTAGAATCAGTCTCCAAGCTCACCTCAAATCCAGATTGAATAAGGGTTTCTATTAAAATTCGTGGCAAGTTGTAAGAAACTGCAAAATGAAGAGCGGTATAGCCAGAACGTTCTGAGTTTGTACATCTTGCAAGTATATCAGAGAGATTCGACCTTTTCAAAACGTATTTTATATTATCCATGTCGCCAAGCATGACTGCGGCTATGGGAACCGTAAAATTATCAAGGGAACGTACGGAGACGGTTTGATGGAATTTAGGCGAATTAAGTATATACTCAACCATTGTAACACTGCACATTGCCGTATAATGAAGAGCTGAGGTCCCACAATCAACTAGTTTATTGATATCCGCTCCTGCTGCTTCAAGAAGCATTGCAACTTCCATATGCCCTTTGACTAATGCAATCATAAAAGTGGCTAGCTGATGAATGCCTTTGGGATTTGATCTAGAATCATGGACTTCCAAGGCAGCACCGTGATCTATCAGGATACGCACAACATCTATGTGACCATTCGTAGATGCACTGTTAATGGTAGTAAGATAATCGGTTTCGGGAGCGCAGAAATTTACGTCAAGGTCCTCCTCTGAAAGAATGTCTTTCACGATCTGGGTCTGACCAAAAAGGGAAGCTTTTTGCAATGCGACTTCTCGACGAGGTAGGTCATCCATATCATTTGATTCTGAAAGCAATTCCAATCCTCGGTGACTTGTTCCTTCTTGTCTGAGTACTAATTTGATAAACCTGAGAGATCAGCGGCGGATCTCACTCTGAGCAACCAACAAAATTAAAGAGTAAACTCACCTTGGCTTTATGTCTATTGATATATTATTTTCTGTTGCTGCATCAATGAATCTGCGTACCAAGTTCCCTTCTTCATGACAAATATTCTCGAGACGCTCCATGCAAGTATCATCAATTATAACCCCTTCCTTGAGTAGCAAATCCCAGCCACAATCGACATGAACAGCCATTGCTAGAGGTGACCAGTCCCACCTGGGATCGATTCGAACATTGTTAACAACCAAGCCCGACTTCAGCAAACATTCCAAAACTTTGTATTTGTTGTCATTAACTCGAGGATGATCAATGTAAAGCGAGTGGTCGCGATCAAGCATAAGCTCTGTGTGCAGGCGAGGGGGGTACCGATACCGCTGAATCTATTAACCTTCACCCGAAATGCCGGATTTTCAACCAGCCAAAGACACACTTTATCCAAGGATAATAGAGCAGTGAAATGCAATGGTGTCGTATCCCAGATATACTCAATTTTCTCATTCTCAAATTTTTGACCGGACATCAGTTTTTGGCTCCAACAAAGAAGGTTATTCGTTTTGGTAGGGTCGAAAAGGACTTTGAGTAAATGAAGCAAGCTCTCATCATTCTAATGAGCAATAGCATATTTATAAAAATGCTCCGAAGCATAGCAATAAAACGGATGTTTTTCATCCCCGTCATCCACCGCCTCCTGTGTGTTGCAAATCCCAAGCTTTTTAAAATCGTCAAACAGAAGCTAGGTTAAACAGATTTTTGCGAGATGAGAATAATGCCATTCTTTGAAGATACGATATTCAGCACAAACGTCATCAGATTGTGGTTTGACCTTTACTAGAAGGAACTCCTTCACAGTAAAATGTGCTAATTCAATCTGTGTCTCGCCAGGTTGTCCGGTACTCCTAAAAAGGCTACTACACCATTTTAGTATATGTATTTCAATAGCCATAGAATCTTGACTCGGAGTCTTATCGTTCAGGTTGATGGCTATAGCTTCTAGAAGCTCTTCTGTAGATAAAGGGTAAGGACTGCAGACTGTCCATGCTAGTACACGGCGCAACAGCCTTTTGATATAGCCACTTTTGCTATTAGCGCGGTCGAGAATTCGCTCATAAGTCTCGAATAGAGTTGGAGGTAGAGATTGCAAAGCTTCTCGGATTGCTTTATCGTTGGTCAGTCCACATAAGTGATCAAACTGGCACACTACCCATCGGACTAGAGAAAAATTAGCACTTTATTATCTCCTAATGAAAGCTTGAATGATTGATACTTACACATTCCTTCAGCATCATTTACTAATCGATGTGCAATTTCTTGTCTAAGAGACTCACTTATAACAATCAAGCTCTCATCTTTCAAGCGACTTGTCAATTCCGCGTGAACATAAAGCCTCAAATTGCTTTTATCTGCGGCAACGGACACTTTTTTGAAATCAATCAGGTAACATTCGATATCGAATTCTTCTCTTAATGTAAGATTGACTCTGATATTGTTATATTCGTCGGTGGCTAGTTGTACCAGGAACTCCACAACCTTCGATCGTCCATCACCGCATTCATCCAGAGCATCAACGATTATGTTGATATTGTCAACACAGCTCGACATATCTCTAATGAGATCGCAGAGCTGTTCTGGGGTGTTTGAATTCAAAGCATCCTGCCCTCCAAACTTTTCTGAACATTGTTGCTTCCAGAAACTTTGGAGTTTAAGGAGGCAACGATGATTGGAGAGAGAGCTGTTTGATCAAAGAGCCGAGCATAATCAAGGGATCATGAGTCCTAGAGTCATTATAGTCACAATAGAAGAATGCTAGGCCTGTGCGTTGTCAGCTTTACTTCCTTGTAAGGGGCCAGAAATCTGTGAGATATCTTACACTCGTCACCTCGGAGCCCGTGTAGCTTAGTGGCGATGGAAGTGACAATGGACCTTCTAATTTAAGTTCAGAACAATCTTTCATACAACAACAGTTTTGATCTACTTACGATAACACTGTTTCTTCAGCTCCCGCTATTCAGAGTCAAGATTGGGAGAACAATCACTCGATACTACGAATATAGAGGACAACTTACGAATCCCATGGAGCCACAGTTTAAAACCTTTTGATGCCATCCATTCTTTGAATGGCTGACAAGTAAAAAACCACTATTAATATTTAGCATTCAAGAATGAATTTTGACATGGAATGTGGGTAACTGACTTGGCCGCTCTCAGGGTGACGAAGCTTCACAGCAACTTCGTGATATCTTTGACTTGGATCATGGGGTGATATCCACTGAATTATCTTCTTCTGCTGTTTATCTTTATTGCCAATCAGCTTATCAAAGAACAACTCCATTAAGAACACGCCCGAGGAATCTGTGCACATACTCAATGCTCTCAGCGTCTGTTCTTTTTGCATAGCTAAGATATTGGCATCTATATCGTCCAATCTTGACATTTGCGTTCTTTGATTGCCAAGAGCATCAGGTAATGCGTTCATGCCGTCCGCTTGCAATGCTAAAGTCAACGCCAATTTCTGAGTTGCCATCAAGGTGATGAGATCTTTTGTTTCGCTTGTAGTGAATGGCCACGTGAGAGATTTTTTCAATTTTTAAGCTTTTTGACCGGACCTAGTCTTTAGTCTGATCAATGTTATTTGGATTTGCCTTATCCAACCGAACTTGTATCTTGTTAAGAAGTTGTTGGCAGACACTGAGATGCTGGAGTTGCATGGTTGCAGTCCTTGGTTCGTCATCGAATCGTGAAGCCGCTAAGCTCAAGCTATTTAGAATACCAAACAGAACTGTCATCTGTTCGGCAAGCTGCTTGATCTCCTCAGAGGCTCCTTTTGCAGTTTTGACATATTTATAAGTAGTTCCAGATAGATCCTTGACGACACTTATCAGCCCAGAGATACTCGCGCTAATGATAAAGGGTCCATAATGATGGCCGAAATGGTATTGTGGTTAAATGAGAGTTCTTGATGTTTCGAGATCTTTCCAAGATGCGAGAAGTTGCATTTTGACTAGAAAGGTTCTCGTGCTTTTCAATCGCCATCAGACAAGGCTATGTTGACAACCCTCTCACAGCGTCAGCCCCCAGTTGAACGGGGGCTTAGAAAATATAAATGTTGCACAACATCCAGTAAAGATGAAGGTTTTGGGACTTGAGAGGCTCTGTGACCGCGAGCAAACGATCAGGTTGGAGGGTGAAACATTGCCTTTCTCCATTGGAACCCAAGTTCATTCAGTAACATCCAGTCTCGGTTCTCACTATAACTCATAGCACTTGTTTCTCGACAAAAATGCTACGAAGAGATCACATAATAAGGTTATTCGTGCGATGTGAGCCTATCCAATTTAGTATCAAGAACATATCAAGACGTGATAATATCTTCACATCGCCATCTCAGTCACTCCATTTCCATTTTCCCCGCATCATACCGTTACAAACGAATAATAATTACATGGTCAATGAACGATAAAGATGCATTGATTTGATAATGTTGACGGGCAGCTGCATTCAACACCGCCACGCAACTAGCTCATCGGTTACTTGCATACATATTGCATCATTCATGCGATACTCTCTTTTCTTCCAATATACTTTCAATTTACTGGTTTCATGCACCTCCAAAGAAAAGTATTTCGCGGCCCCAAGCAACTCAAAAGGAATCATCATCAATCTCGAGCCTGAACTCGCACCCTTTTCCAAAAGGTATTTTTTATTCGACCACCCAGCCAGAACTAACTTTTTTAGAGACGCACTTGAACCGGTTTACTTCCATGCTCTCTGTCTTTCGCATTTTTATGGAGAAGTAGATATCCAACTCTAATGCTTTATTTCTACCATACAGGCTGATCCACTTCGATGCCAGGAGATCGAAAAACACATTTTCACTCATGATCTTCCATATTCCAAGAATACTAGTACTGAGTACCCCTCGACCGATTTCCAGGACATATTCATAACCAGGCAGTCAATATTATAAAGTCTCAATCCCGTCGATTCCCGAACATATATATTAACATCGAAATCACGCACCTAATATCAGTTAACTCTAGGAAACGAACAACAAAATACATCCTACACCTCCACTCACTCAATCTGGCTCATCTCCTTTGAAGTTTCTATCCTAAAGTACTCTTCAATTCCCAATAAAGAATCTACATGTACTTGTTACCTCTCAATTCTCATTGCAACCTACACTTCAACTTTACTCCCCTAATTTTTGCCTTACGTCCGCACAGACAGATCCCCGCTTGACACAAATTACAAAATCAACATCAAAATCATCAAAATTGATATATGTGAGTCAACGGTTGCTAGATAGCCGATGAGTATCCCTCATGCCTCTCACTCCCCAAGTTCTAAATCATTCCCTCCTTTCTAATTCCTTGACTCCTTCCACTGCATCTCAACTTTCTAATCTTCACCTTTCATTCTCTACAAATGACAAATGCACACACACCAAATACACGCTCTTTACTTCCAAATTCTATTCTCCACTACTTGAAAGTTAGCTCTACTTTCCTGTCCACCTATGTACTATCTCCTGGCCTCTCATCTCACCGTTCTACCTCACCCCCTATCAAACTACCTACCCACTGTCCACTCATTCTTAGTTCAAACTTAAGCTAATAGACAACCTCAGTTATCTATACTCACCTCTTCCTTCGCCTCCTTCTGTTCTCGCAGGCGATTTTACCTCAACCCTCAAGTTCTCCCTCAACGCTCCCATGACACACCACAAAATGGATCAATCCAACCCGACTCAAATTAAGCAAAAAAGACTCAGCTCGACTCAACCAACCCAATTCACAACAATTCAACAAAACCAAACAACACTCACAAACACAAATCACTTCAAATCAAACCCAACAAATTCTCAACCCACCACCGCAACCACAGAGACCCACCTCACACTCAAGAATCACACCAATGCCAGTACACAACCCTAACTATCCCCATCCATACAATTCTTCTTCTACACATGCAATCCTCAACTCCCCCCCCCATTTCCAATCCTCAAGTGACACAAGATACAACATACCCACTCCAACACACCCACAATATCTCAATCCCCCTCCTCATAACCATAACCATCTCCTATATCTTGTCATCCTTCACCCCTCGACACTCCCCAAGAACCATCGCACATCTATTCATTCATTTATTCATTCATTCTTTCTTTCAGTCCCCAATCTTTCTATTTCAACCCATCATGCTTCCTCTTTTCTCCCTTCACTCTTTCTCTTTCAAGTTTTAACTTCCGAGTCCTCACAACGATACCCACCCCTCTCTTCTAATTTTCATCCCTATTCATCACTCACTCACTCACTCACTCATCCACCTCCCCCCATTCTCCCCCAAATAGATCCATACAATACAATTTCCTAATCTCATTCTCAATCTCACTTTCACTCTTTCTCTCACACCCTCTCTCACACCCTTCACTCCATCTAGCCTAAATTTCCCCCCAAATTCCACCACAAATTCCACCACAAATTTTCATTATTCCATATCACCATCACCATCAGCACCAAGCAAGCACACAGACATTTACACATAACCATAACTAAAATTCTAATTTCTAATTCCCGCTTTCCAACTATGCCCAGGTATATACATCATTTCCTGCCCCCCTCCACATTCATTATATCCACAAAAGAAAATCGCGTGGGTATGTATAGATAGATCCCATAAGACTATATAACCGAACCCACCTCCGCCCCTCACCCTTTCCCTCTCCCTCCACGCCCCGACATTCAAAGACCCAAAAAAGGTATGTACAAATATAAAACCCACTCCGCAGTATCCTTTGCAATCACAAACCTAAACCCAAACGCCATTCCATCCCATGCCATGCTATGCAATGCACGCTTCTTTCCACTTCAAACCCCAGAAATGCTTTATTCGTAAATATAACTTCCCCCTCTTCCTTCTCACAACGTCACGCTCACTCACACCCCCGGCACAGTCCCATCTCCCCAACTCCTCCTCAACGTCTTCCCCTCTCTAACCATCTTTGCAATTTCCTTCCCCACGGTCTCCTTCGCCTGCCCTCCCATATTAAAATCATCCCAGAAAAGATACTCATCCGGTTGTTCACAGACGAGTAATCCATTAATATCTGGCAATGTTTTTGTGTTTTTCATTTCTCCTCTCTTCTCACTTCCATTTTTGATTTTCCCCGACTTTCGCTTCTCCCCAGGTGCTCTTTTCTTGCTTGCCCCGTTATCTCCTGCTCGTACACAAGGATCATATACGGAAACATATGGACTTTCTTTTGTGCCGAGTCCACTCGCATCAGATAATCCTTCATCTTCCAATTGATGTTCAATAATGATTTCCGTAAGAAATCTATTCAGATCATAGTAATAGATGTCTTTCTGTGGTGGAGGAATTTCCGGTTTATCTTCTTCCTCAACAACGCCTTTCGACTCTCGCTTTTCTTGTGATTGTGATTGCTGTCCCTCGTTCTGGTCGAATGTTTCTGGAACCGCATCTCCAGATCCTGGTTCTTCTGGTGCTGGTGCTGGTTCAGCCCATTCAGAAGTGGTGGTGGCTTCTGGTGTACTAGCAAACCAAGGTTTGATAGAGTTTTCCACACTATTATCCCAATCTCTCACCAATGAAACGGCATTCTTCTGGTGTTCCGCCACAGAACTAGGTCTCAATGGAATAGGTCTTTGACTTATCCAACCAGGCAACATTGTAGGATCGAAAAGCTTTTGGATGACAATTCTGAATTGTGGTTTGGGCACAACATGCGATTTATTATGTGGGATTTCGACAAGATGAGTAGCACCCAAAATTTCCCTATGATGTGCGTATAAATTATCGAGTTGTGCGAACATTTCTGTGACAGCTTTTTTTTGAGCCTCTTGAGCTTTGGTATAATCGAGAGATGCGTAGTGCCATACATCCCATGTGCCGAATGAGACGACGAAGATTGTTTCCCGAAGTTTCTTTTTTGGCAGAGGCAGAGCGATAAAGGATTTTACCTGAGCTTCAAGATCAGGGAGCATAGATTCGTGGGTTATTTTCGTTTCATTATTATTTTGACCTGCGGTATTTTTGATGGAAGAAAGGTAGACTTTGTTGGATGAAAAGGCACCCGTGGGTGGTGATGATGGGTATGAAGATGCGGGTTGAGAGACTGCTAGATTGATTTTCGAAGTACACGAGAGCTGAAAATAATCAATTAGTAAATGTGCCAATTCTCAAACCTCAATCGGTCAAACCCATGAATCAACAGTCAGAAGAAAGAGAAAATAAAAAACGTACCTCTTCACAAAGAACTTCCGTCCAACTTCTACCCTTCCCATCCCCATTCTCTTCCATCGTATCATCCACCCAACTATCTCCAAAAACCACCAATCTCACACCTCCTTCCTCTCCATCCCCTCCATCATCATCTCCACTTGCCCAATCCCATAATCCATCCGTCACATCATTAATACTCGTCCCACCTATCTCAATCTTCCTCAAGTGTTCGGTGTATCTCGATTGAGGTAATAAAGCCAAGATGGTCATTAACGATAGAACCATCGCAAACACCGACGCACCCAATCTCGTAAAGGCGCGCATTGTCGCGAGTCAAACCACCAAAAACCCGGGTCAATTCAATAATCTCCTCCCTTCCCCTTCAACCGCAATCGCAACCAAAGTAAATACAAAAAGGCTGAAATCAAGTACTCGTAAATACACAAAGTTTTCGTATTTCTGATAGAATTCAGCCTTGTTAACTTTGTTCCTGAAAATGGTAGGATTATGATGCTGCCAAGAATGCTGGCGTTGCGTACGCCAAGAGCGGATGTGTTATCACCTTCTCTTTTTTGTTAAATGTTCAATGAACAAAGTGTATAAATAAATATACTTTCAGAGGCTCTCTCTCTTTTCGTTGAATATAAATAAAAGAATGAAGAAACATCAATCGTAAACGGTGTCCCCAAAAGAATGAGTGAGTATATGATAATCGCAAAGTACAGATTGCAGCCACAAATACGAAGAACAAAACTTGCTTATGACCTCAAGATACGAGACGTTGACAGGAAAAGAGAAAGAATAAATTGAGCAGAGCAATATAAAAAGAAAGTCGAAAGTAGAAAAGATAATCAAAGAGAGATCAAAGTACGAATCAGCGGGACCTGGCGACTGGGGAATGAAATAATCATAATCATAAGATAATGTAAGATCTTAGCACTTCCTTCCCAGTCCAGTTTAATTCTGTAGCCCTACCACCTCTTGCACAGTAAAGTAAGTATGGGGGACATGGTCGTAATCGAGAATGAGAGTGTCTCTGCGAGACTGCATAGCCCATGAGCTTGCATCGACACGCAACCAGGACTCGTAAGCTTTTTCCTCTTGGTGCAACGGTTAAGCGGATCCTCATCATGTTGCCCCTTGTTTAGTGGTGGTGGGAAGGAAAAGGTCAAAAGTTAAAAATAATCAGCGTGGGAGAGGGATAATCATTAGATGAAGCATGGATGGGATGGAAGGTCGAGGGAAGGTCTCGATTCATGGGTGAGGGAGGGAATGGAATGAGGGATTGAGTCCATGGATAATAAAGAATGAATGGATTGATTGAGTGATAGTCGTTGAATATCTCATTATGTTGAGTAGGCAGTACTTTGCCCATGAATAAATAAATATGAATACCTAGGTATGAGATGAGATGCAATGAAATGAACATAAATAACATGGACATACCTACTGGTACCAACTCCATAGTACTGACTCAGTTGAATTCCTACTAGGTAATACATATGCAAGTTTGCTACAATAAACCTGGAATTGAATGTTCGGATGCATGGCAAGGCATGATTGATGGATGGATGATAAAACCTTGGAAATCATCCGAAAACCCCGATGGCTGGTGATATGACAATGATAATGATAATAAAAGTAAGTACAGCTCAGAAGTACGTTTTGTTTGACCGTAGATTTCCGTACCCCAACATTAACAGTACGAAGCATATCAAGTGTGAGAAACATGATATAAATAACTTGACAGCCTCACCGGCGACTACCTAAGCACACACATGGAACAGAAATATCCAACCACACTACACTGCACTGCACTGCACATATAAACAAGCATGCAAAAAATAAACCAATACACATCCATCCATCCTCCTCCCCTCTACCCTACCCTACCCTTCTAAACGCCATGCCATCCCCTCCTCCCCTCCCGCGCGTATCTAAATCACACCAAATCACATCAAGTCGACTACTTCGTAAAAATCTGATAAAAGTTGAAACCCATCATGTTCCAAATGCCATGCTATGCTATGCCATCCCATCCCAACCCATCAGCTCTGGATCTGCATTCTAGGTTTCGTTTTAATAGGTAGTGCTTCTCATCTGGGTCATGTGATGTGATCTATCAAAATTATTTCCTGCCCTCTCTAGGTGGGTACTTGTGTCGTGCATTTAATTCGCGATTGTGAGACTTGACTTAAGTTAAGGACTTGACTTAGGTATCACAGACTCAACTTCAAGACTTAACATAAAGACTCAATATATAGACTCAATATAAAGACTCAATTTCCAAATCAATATCCAAATATTCGATATTCAACACTAATAAACCAAGCTACATCACGTGAAGAAATCACAATTATCATTACAATAGGGTATCTACACCACCAGTGGGTGTACGGACTCACGGGACAGTACAAAAATGAACTTTTAAATATCTTTTGATATATTGAATCATTCATTTCAAAAATCGTTATGGTTCTTGAATAGAGATAAAATAATCAAAATACAAATTCTGGTTTCAAACAATTGAAGAATGAATTTATATAAAAAATATTTAAAATTGGAAAGGGTCCTGTCAGTCCATGCACCCCACTGATGTACTGTGATATATTTATCTAAATAGTGAGTGTATGAGTAAACCTCCTCTGTGTTGTATTCTACATAATCGTGCAAAGAAAAAGTGATAAATACCTATATACATACCTAGTATTCATATCTACAAGCACGAAAACCAGCAGCATTTCAACACACATCCGAATAACTTGAATCTCACAAAAGCATATCTACATGCTCACTCACAAGGAAAGCCAAACTAGCTAGGTAATACTACAAAATGCAAATTCTATCACATCATATAGATATCTGTTCCTATTGATAGGTACTTACTATGTATCCAAGCTCAAAGCTCAGTCAAATATCTATCGATTCGCCTACGAAGAAAAAAGCATATATAATCAAGATATTATATGCTCGTATCCATAGCCGTTAGATACAATACCATGAAAAAAACGGGAATATCCTCCTACAAAACAAAAAAAAAGTCTTCTTTTTTGAGATCCCCTACACCACACCTAAGAAAAAGAAAAAGAAAGCATGTAAAAGAACTCCAAACCATGCAAACGCCCAAGATGCATTGAACATTCAAAACTCTCTTGATTATCTTCTATTTTGGAAACGATTGCCGGTTAATTTTTGCATCTTGGATCGGGGTGGTCCTTGTTCAGCATCATCACTTTCATCATCTTCTCCTTGCTCGTCAATATCATCGTGATCAACTTCATCCTCATCTCCAGAATCCGCATCGGTTTCCTCAGCCTCATCATCTATTAAATCATCCTCGCTGTCTTCTTCCTCTTCATCAGATTCTGCCACCATACCATTAAGCATTTCCTCTTCAATCTCAGAATCCGAGATATCTTCGAGGTCTCCGTTCTTGGCAAGTCTTTGAGGTAATCCATTCACGATCACTTCCTCCTCGTCATCACTTTGACCCTCAACGTAAATGACACCCTCATCGTTATCCTCGCTATCCAATCCTGATCGGTTTTGCATGCCTCTTCGTAATTCGATTTGTGCGTCCAACATATCCAATTTGCCCTTCAAAGATAAAAGATGTTGTAAAGCCTTTGATCTCTCATCGAGAACTCGATTTACCTCGGACAACTTCTTGATGAGACCTCTTTGAGTTGCCAAGTAACCACCATGTGTAATCATTGACCATTGAACCCAAACCATAAGACTACCAGCTCTACCAGGTCTTCTGTGTAATCTTTCTGCCAACTTTTGTAGTAGGATTGCGGCCAGAGGAGAATCGAGTCTTTGAATGGTAGCTCTAATCGTACTCAGATCCGTAGTATGCAAGCAGGACTCCAACAAGGCGACATCGTTTGTCTTGAGTGCTTGAGTAAGAACTGTTCCGAGGGATGCGCCGGAAGGAGCCTGGATTGAATTTTGAGGGTATGAAAGGGTTTGAGATTTGGAATCTACGAAAGCGGCAGCAACATCGATAGGTTCCAAGGCGTTTGCTCGAACAAGATCTCCGAATGTTGGTTCTCCATCTTCCTCGGCAGCCTCAGCTCCTTCCTCTCCCATTGTCACATCTGCGTTGACATTGCCATCTTCTTCGATATCACTTCCATCCTCCTCGACTTCCTCCATATCATCGTCACTTTGTTCCTCCTCGTCGCTGGATATTTCAACCACTTCGTTCTTCTTCGCTCCATTCGTCTTCACCGTGCTTGCAGCTCCTCCACCTGATACCACGGTTTTCGATTCATCCAGGTGACCAGTTCCAAACGATTTGACACCTTGCTTCACCATTGGTTGACCAAGCTTGGTCGGGAGCTTTCTCTTGGTTGACATTTTGTTTGATTGTTGGTTGTGCGATGTAAGAAAGAGGGTGGAAATTTGAATATGACGAAAACTAGGTAGGTTATTTCGAATTGAGGAATTGGCGGACAACCAATGAACAAGCTTCCGAAAGAGGATTAATTGAAAAGGACAAATGTGAATTGGACGTGATGACCCAATTGAGATTATACGAAATCAATACAATATAGTTTCTAATGGTGGTGGTGCTGAATGAGTTGAGGTATAATCTCTACCATTGAAGCTATCAAACCAAAACTTCAAGAAACATTTTTTTTTACCCAAGATAGAAAAAATAAATCTTGATCACGTGGAGTGGCTATCTTGAGCACCAAAAGTGTTGATGCGGGCCAGATAAGGTGGATCCGAGAATGGAAATGTGGCTTAATCCTGTTGTTGACGTTACGATGATTGGTTCAATAAATATCCTTCTTGTGTATTGATCCATTTTAACCTTTGACCATCCTTGCCGAGCCTTCCCTTTCCTTACTTCATGTGGGGCTGAGGGAGTTGATGAAACGATGTGATTGGGTAGTATGAGGCAGCCTGCAGATTAAGCACAAGGTGTTAATAAGTTTACTAATGGTGCATTAGGTTTAGTTTCATGGTCATCACTTGCTATCGTTTAAATATGTTAATCGTATGTCCCCCCGAAAGTTCTCGTCTTGCAACCAAATTTTTTAAAGGTTGATTTTGCGACAGCCTTCTCATTCGTCCAAAGTACTGGAGAGCACCGACCACCCCCGATCATCAGCCAAAACCTCACTCAAAATACACCTCAGCTCACTACGACACATGACCTTCATCGCGACCATTCTTATATCATCAAAATAAGAAGGAAAGAAGAAAGACGATAACGATTTTCCTTATCGATTCCATACCCACGAACACAACGCAATCCACTCCCACTCACGACTAACCTCCAAAAATAAATTCATTCTTCACTTGTATTATTGTGATTTGAGTGTTTTATTTTATATTGTTTTACTCTGTCATATTTTAATCGTTTCTCCCGCCTCTTTGTTTACTACCAAGTTTGATTTTACATTTTGAGGATATACTTCTTGATATTCTTTTCGACCATAGAAAAGGATAAAAGCGATCGCAAAAGGTTAATAATTCTCTCTTCTCTCTTTTCTCTTCTCTCTTCGCCCCTCTCTCCTCTCTCTTCGCCCCTCTCTGCTCTCTCTTCGCCCCTCTCTCCTCTCTCCTCCCTCCTCCCTCCTCCCTCCTCCCTCCTCCCTCCTCGTTTTCCCCTTTACTTTCTTTTTGTGGCGTGAAGTGAGTGAAGCAAAGGAAAGGAAAGGAAAGGAAAAGGAAAGGAAGAACGTTATTGCCGAGAAGGACCGGGGGTAATCAAATTCCATTTTCATTAATCCTTTGTGGTTGGTTGCGCGCATCGGATTAACTTGGAACGACGAAAACGAATTCATTTCTCTTATTAATCGTTCCATCCATTCATTCATTTCGAATATTCAATTCATCAACACCGTTTTGGATAGTGAAGAGATTCGTATCAAAACTCTCACACAATACGATACGGCACTATTACATCGGGTCAGGGGTTTAATTATCAATAACCTGTATTTGAAGTTACATACACCCACTAGTTCACGCTAGGTCGGCCTTGTTTACAATCTCGATTTTGGGGGGGAGGTCTCTTTCGCTAGTTGCACCTTTTCACGATAAATCGCGTCGCGCTCCATCTCATCCACTCTCTCAATCTCTCTCTCAGTGCGATTTGATGCGATTCCCATTCCAACAACGGGATTGATTACAATATACCTAATTTCAATCTCTACGTCGCAATCATCAATCAATTCATATCACAATTGACGATTCACTGCTTTCACCATACTTTCAATTGAAATTCAACGAACAAAAGAAAAAGGGAATTCTGAATTCCATATGAAAGTCGCGTGTCGTCTATCAAAACAATAGCACAAAAAGAGAGAGCTCGCAACTACAACTTCCAGCTTCCTACCCACCCACACATCAACAAGACAAAATAATTCCCATTTCGCCATTGTACTTTTCCAAACAACAGATTCAATTCATTTTGTTTGGGGTGGAAATCAACCAAGAGTGCAAGTGGCCAAATATTGCTTGAACCTTTGAGCCTTCCTTACCTTTGAAATCGCAAGGCTGCAATTCAGATTCTTTGTCGCATATCGACGAGGCTGCGCCGAGGATTAAAATAAAGGCAGGTCTAGGGAGACCATTCACATATCCCGCCACCTTACCTGAATAGCTTCATACATTATTCCATATTATTTTGTTGCTGGGTACACTTCAGTTTTGAAGTCAATACACTTTTCTTTTTTCGCTCATTCACTACCCTCAAGTCGCGTGGTCTTTCGGGCGCAATCTAACTGATTTACTCAACAGTCTTCCTCAACCAACTTAAATAATCCCTCTTGTCGCAACAAATCCATCCATCTTACAACTAAAACTTAAGACTATCGGAATTCATTTCAATTTTAAAGACCGACAAATTCGATCTTGTCGCATTGCTTTTCTTTCAGTCTCTCCAACTTCAATTACTAGCCCAGAGCTATCTTTCCATCAATTTTGTCGCAAGCAATACCTCTGTGAATAGAGGATCTCTGTTTGTTGATGGCCGTCATGACCACCCAGCATTCAGAAGATGTAGCTTTGGAGCAAAAGGCAATACCCGTTCCATCATCTGATACGATGGCTTTGGATCTTAATATCAACGGGTAAGTCTTCTCTACCATAATTTCCTCATTCAGTTTCCTTTTTTTTCTTTCTCATCTTTTTGTACACTTATGTTTATCAATGAAAAATTATAGATCTTCTACTCGAGATGATACCAAAACTGAAGAACAACAAACAACCTCTGATCTTGAATTGAAAAAATCTCCCGCGCCCGAAGTCACCAATTCTGAATCTGCTGAAATCACCTCTACGTTAAAGTCAGATGGGGACTTGAATGTAGAATCGCATGCCATAAACAACTCCATTCCTCAGTCCACTGTAGCTGAATCGCATGCGCAAGATTCTCCCGAGAGTCAAAACGTATCTCAACTTCAAGATTCGGATACAACAACTGTTTCCGACGAACCTCCAAAAGCAATCGATGAACTAGACCGTACTGTATCCGATCTACCTACACCAGCTGATTCAGTGCCCGAGGCTGCAAACGATACTTTCGCACCTACCGCAGTTCCACCTATTGTCGACGCTCCTGTGTCCGATATGCGGGATGAAGTATCTCCACTTACTCAAGTACCGGAAACCACACGACAACCCTCATTGCCAGCTTCAGAGAACAAGGCAGAGTCATTGAGTTTGGAACGAAAGACTTCTGCACCAGCTCAAGAGACGAAAGCCGAAAGTGTTGACGGCATGAACCTTAGCTTCGATGCGCCCCGACCCGATCTACCCCCATCATCTCCCAACAATGCCCCACCTTCTGTTGACATGGATCTCTCTCCAAAGCCGGAGCAAGCAACTGCGAACTCCACTCAAGAATCCGCGGCTGCCAACCTTGGTACAAGTGATGTTGATATGACAGATGCGCCTGCACAACCACAGGTTACAAAGGTTGCTCGTGAGCGAGAGGATGATGGCGAAGAAGAACCATCGGCCAAACGCACCAAGACTGAGGAAAGTGAAGAGCCTCGAATCCCTTCGCACGTCGGGACCCCAGCTCCTGCGCAGAACGGAGTAACTACAAATGGTGTTTCGTCTTCTAATGGCAATATGTCACGCTCAATCACGCAACATGAGACCAAAGAGATCATTAAAATCATCAAAAATGTAATCAAGACTGCTGCTGGAAAGAATTTCAGAGCTCCAGTTGCAATTCTTTGGCCTGGCTTCGCAGATGCTTATGCACAAAAAGTCAAGAATGAGGTTGATCTGAGTACCATGGAGAAGAAGATCAAAAGTGGCGGATACCCTTCGATTCAAGCTATCAAGGATGATGCCGTGCTTCTCTACGAAAACGCCATTGCTTTCAACGGTCTTGATAATCCCATCACGGCCGCTGCCAATGATGTGAAGACATCGATTATCACTAAACTGGGAAGTCTACCACCAGAGCCACCAGCCCATGTTGCCAAAGCTCAAGTCAAGAAACCCAAGCGACCAACGCCTTCTCTTGATACTGCTGCTCGTACTCCCACTGCTAGAAGACCATCTCGCGGATCTACTGGCGCTGCTGTGCCCATGAGTGCTCCAGCCCCAACGTTTGCTCTTGATCCAGTCACCAGCACACCATTGATCCGTCGTGACTCAACAAAAGATGGCAGGCCAAAGCGTGAAATCCATCCACCAAAGAACAAAGATTTACCTTACTCTTCCGCAAGACCTAAGAGCAAGAAATATTCTGTCGAGCTCAAGTGGTGTGAAGAGACGCTGAATGAGCTGAAGAAGCCAAAATACTTGGCGTTTTCTAATGCTTTCATGGATCCTGTTGACCCCGTCGCATTGCAAATCCCCAATTACTTTACTGTTATTAAATCGCCCATGGATATCTCCACTGTCTCTGAAAAGCTCCAAAACGGCGCCTACACAAGAGCGAAGGAGTTTGAACAAGACGTGAAACTCATTTTTCACAATTGTTACAAGTTCAATCCAGAAGGCAATCCCGTCCGTGTCATGGGTCAGCAGTTTGAGGAGGTATTCAATGGATTACTAGCTAGGAAGGATCGATGGATCGCTGATCATCAACCCGTTGCTGTGACTCCCGATAGGGATGAAGAGAGCGAGGAGGAAGAGGAGAGTGAAGATGAGCCAGAGCCCGTGCAAGAAGCATTACAGGGTGCTGCTACGGCCCGACTGCTTTTCGAACAAGCCAAGCTTATTGATATGCTATCCAAACCGGAATCCCCAGATGCCATTGCCTTGCAGAGAAAAATTCTTACTTTCATTCAAGAAACTGTCGAAAAAGAAAAGGCGGCGGCAATTGCCAAAAAACCTAGCAAGAAATCAAAGCCCTCTAAACCATCTAAAAAGGCCAACCCAACGAAAAAGAGCACTACTGGTCCCCCAAAGAAATCTGGAGGAGTTCGCAAAGAACGATCCCTGGGAGTTCTCGAGAAGGAAGTGATTTCCCAAGGGATTGGCCAGTTACCTGATAACATTACTGCGGAAATCATGGAATTGGTCAAAGAAGCTCATCCAGAGATGGTGGTAAGTAACACATTTATATGTTCAATAATTATAGATTGGCTAACCTTGTTATTTAGGTTGAGGAAGATGGTACTATTGAAATGGAGATTGAATCACTCCGAGTACATCTTCTCTGGAAGATTTATGATAGCGTCGCCATCCATTCACCAGAAACTGTCGTCAATGTTAAAGCGCAGTATCAGGATAAAAAGGAAGAGCCTCGTGCGATTACAAAACCTGTTCCAAGGAAAAAGAATAAGCCTATGACAAAAACTGAGCAAGAACGAAAAATTGCATTGCTCAGAGAAAAGGTTCAAGATTTCAAGAAAGGTCCAGGATCAGCTTCTCAAGAACCCATTGAGAGCGTCGAGCAACATACACAAGACGAATCAAGTGGTGATGAGTCTTCAGATTCTGAAGAAGAGTAATCTTATCTTGAATGGACCTCCATCCTGGTTGCGAACTTGGGAGCTCGTACTTCACTGCCAAATATCAGGATTTGTTGCGACAACTCTTAAGAAAATGGCCTTTCCACATGTACATTATCTTTCCCCTACACACTTACGGGCACGTTGTACAATACCAAAATTTTCACAAACTCATTGACATCCCGTTTGAGATCATGCCTTTCATTCATCGACTGATAATTTTTATTCGAGTTTTCCACCTTTGAGAATCTGGTATTTGAACTTCCTCGAAAACTCAAATAGGATCAGTCGATGGAGCACATGCTTTCTGCATTCTTCAAAGTATTCATGACATCGGGAATTAGGGGAAAATTTGAGATGAGAGAAAGGATTGGAGGATAGTAATTGAGTTTTACTTTTTGATTTACACATGCTGCTAGTACCGCTTTCATGCGTGCTGATAATGAAACTTGATCGATCGTTGGTCAATTTACTCTTTTTTTTTTTTTGGTAGGATGACCTTGATTTAGCTGCTTGATTACCTCGCGCACTTTGATTCATTGTTATGGCGAGTGATGGAAGGGGTGGTGGAAGGAAATCATAATTGAGGGGGGTGATTGGGATGAATTGTATGATATCAGAGATGGGGTGGATAGTTTCGTTTTGCGAATGTGCAAGCAAGAAATGAGTTATTTGGTGAAGAATGCAAGTGGTCAGGCGAGCGAAGGAAATCAAATCTGATCAGATGAATGCTAGGAGAGGAGTCATTAAACGAAACATCAGATCAGCGAATCAAGTAAAAATGAAAGGATGATTGGGGAAACATGAATACCCATCTATTCACCCACTTCTCCATGCGGAGTGAGTGAGAAGTCATAGGTAGTTTGATCATACCAATCTCAATAAAAAATTATTATACGAAAATAAACGGGTAATTACATGACTGTGATACGATCTGATGTGATGTGGTGACCCTTGACTACGGTCAACTTGCAATATTCATTCCTTCTACAATCTGCTTTCTATCACTGCCTTCCTTTTTCATATCACTGACTCTTTTTGGCACGTTTACTTGAACATCCACTGCTTGGTATCAATGAACCCAGTAGACTGGCTCGTCTCGCAAGGGTCAAATCTATTTGGGATGGTGTTGGCACGTGCACGTACGCAGGCAACATCCGAGAATGTAGCTTACTTTGATTTTCAATCCCTGTTTTCACCATTGAGTGTTTCATACTCAATCAACTCAACTTGGCACTTTGTGACGGTATGGTTGTTTTGTGAATTGAATTGAATTGAATTGAATTGAATTGAGTTGTGAGAGTAAAGGAATTAGCCACCACAGTGTAGTTACTGGTTTGCGGAAACACGATTTATCCACACGCGTTGTTATTGGAATTGGTTTGGTCAACGAGCATGGAGACGGAATTCGGAGAGATAAGAATTTACGGTTTTATAATACTCCGGGATACATCTCTCTAACGAACTCGACTTTTTTGCTCGATAAGAGACAAGAATATGTCTTCAGCACCTAATCTGCGCAGAAACGGCAAGCGTCCTTCGTGTGAACCGTGTAGGATTGGGAAATTGGCTTGTGGGCATGAACAGCCATATTGCGGAAGATGTGTGAAGAGGGGATTAGAGGGAAGGTGTTGGTATCATCCCGCGCCTATGAGTCGCGGGAGGGTAGATGGGGAGAGAGGAAGAACTGAGGAAGGCGGGGAAGAAAGTGGAGATGGGGGAAACGTCAAACGCAGGCGAGTTGGAGAGCGAGTTAAGGAGAGAGGTGAGAGTGGAGAGGAGCGCGTTGATGGAAATGGAGAAAGGGAAAGAGGGGGGTTGGATAGTTTGGCCTATGCTGCGGTCATGAGAGATGTAGAGAGAGAAGAATGCGGCGGGGAGAGCATAGAAGCTCCCTCGACAAATCCAAGTCACTCCCACAACATCTACAAGTCAACCACTCCCCAGAACAATTCTCTTGGTATACTCACAACCGAGGTGGCCCCTCAAGTCACAAAACCCACAAACAATGTCTACCTTTCTTCACGCGGATGTAGGTCGGCAACCCCAAATCGTCAATCACATAAATCTTCGTTTCCAAACTCTATGAATTCAATGCCTGGAAAACCATCGATGCAAAATAATTGGAACGGGGCTAGTTACAAGAGGAGTAGGCGGTTCTGGGGGCCCACAAGTTTTGGGGCTGTCTTTAGGAATGGTGATGGGAATGGAGAAGGGAAGGAATTGGACGCGGAAAGAGGGAGTGAAGAAAGCGATCAGAGTGGGATGAGTAGGGATACGTTAGTAGGTGGAATAGAAGGAATGCTGGATATTGGAGAGGATGGAAGGAAAAATCCTAGTTCGTGGCCTTTTGGTCCGCCGCTTGTGAGTCCCCATATATCGTCTCATTTCTGCTTCTGGAAATTTAACCTTCTCAAAGCTAGGAAGGAATAGACCGACGTCTTACACAATTCGTTGTGAAATGATCACCAAAGCACTTTGGAACATACCGTCACTTTCGAGCTGTAATAAACTCCTAGAGCGGTATCACGATCTTCTCGAATTCTCAGTCCTGCCCGAATTCATGATCAAGTATTTAATTTCGAGTATCTATGATACATTTGGCTCAATCCTAGCTGAACCTCGTAGCAAGGAGAAGTTTGTACCCTTCGTCGAAACATTGCTCAGAAATGAAGAAACACCGCTACCCTCATCCCCGGACGATGGTATCGCATGGCTCGATACCTTTTGTGGGCCCAAAGTTCGATTTGAATCTATGGGGCTTTTGTTCTGCTTCATAGGAAGAGCATATCAGAGTCTGGTGGATGGGAATCCATTGTTTCTAGAAGAGGAAAATCATGGAAGGAATAGAAGACAAACAAGTTGGAGAATGAACGAGTGTGCGGATGTTATGGGGAAAATGTGTGATTGCACGGATACGGTAAATGAGATTGTGGTTGCATTTCGGGTGTCTATTTATGTGTTGGAGAGTGCAGTGGTGGGGGATGAGAGTACGTTACTTTTCTCTTCGATTCGAAGTACTCAATCAGGATCATACCCTTTTCAGAAGATGAGCTAACATAACACTTAAACATTAAGGTTACAGTAATCTCAACCGACATGGAAGTATGGTAACATCAGCGTGTGCTATTGGACTCCACCGTCTCCCCCATATCCCTCCACACCTCCTAACTACAGCCGCCGAATACAAGCGTCGATTATTCGCTACAGTTTACTACATGGACAAATGTTCCTCGGCTCTCAACGGCACACCGCCTGGTATTTCTCGCCTCTATTGCCGTCTCCAAATGCCTTCCGATCTTTCGGAAACAGAACTTTTCCTTCCCCGTGCCCAAATGCAACAAGCAATAGCTGCATGCGATGAGCAAGGATGGAATCGGAAAGGTGAAATTTATTGTAGTACTTGCTATAGAGCTCAATTACAACTCTACATGATCAAAGAAGAGATATTAGAGGGAGCTCTAGGTGTGGATGTGGAGGTTAGTCGTGAACGCATAGATTCTCTTCTTTCTCGTAATGCCTCCCTATCTCTGAATCGACCACCGCAGTTTCAATTTAATCCAAGATCGACAGGGAGATTACTATTTGTACAATTAATCATGTCATTTGAGGCGCTGCAAAACACTTTTTTATTACATAGACTTGCAGTAGCAAATCACCTAGAAGGGAATTATTTCCAGGGGGTACTAGATACAGCAATGGAAATGTTGGAAAAGGTCATTATGATGTGGGAGAAGAGGGATGTGTTGGTTGGATTTGAATTTTGTTTCGATTGGTTTATTACGAGCTATGGAATCCCAGCGGCAGGTGTAATCTGTGTGGAGTTGCTAAAAAGAATGAGTGGAAATTCCACCTCTGCTTCTGGCTCTGAAACAAGGAAGATGGGAACTCAAGAGAAGACAATGGCGAGGTTTTCCAAAAGTGTAGCGATTCAGAAATTGACACTCTTTGGCGCGTTTCTGGATTGGGTGAGAGATACGGATGGGAATTATGCATTGTTGAGAAGGGTGAGGGGGGTGGTAGGACGCGTTTTGAAGTGGGTTCTTGATGGGGGAGATTTTGATAGGGAAATGGAAAGGGAGAAGGAGAAAAGCAACTCTAGCCAAGAAGATCTTTCCAAGATGGCTCAAAAAACAATTGATCCAACACAAGTTCAGACTCAAGAATTTACAAATAACATAGGGATTGAAAATGGAACAAGAGCTGAGGGATCACAAGTATGGGACAACGCAGGTGTTGATTTCATACCGCAGCCTGCGCACATCGGGCAGACGGTTTTTGGTGATGAGTTTACGGCAAATTTAGATTTCAATACGGGATTAGAATCACTGGAAGGGATAGGCATGGAAGAGATGTGGGGACAAGTTGATTGGTTGAATGCGGGGGATTGGATTGGGGGTGTTGGAATGGGGGGTACGGGTAATGGGAACGCGGGCTTTGGGTTTGGATTTTAGGGGCATGATTTGGTGTGTTGTTTGTGGTAGATGGCGCCGTACTCGAAAACTTCCTCAGGAACTATTTTCAACAGACTGATAGAGGTACGGCGATGGCGATGATTCTAGTACGATATGGTGGAAATGGATGAGAAGTTTGGTTCGGATTTCTAGGGTTGTATTTTTCAAATTGGACACAGTGTACGGCAATTCTGGCAGCAACTCCTTCTTTGAATGAAGTGGGATGAAATGATTCGGTTTTGATGATGCTAACACAGCAGAGATTCGCTTTTCCCTGCCGTGTTAAAGGTTTTACGGCATCTTGGCTGTATGGACGACTGATGAGTTAGCTAATATAAGTTCTACAGTCCTCCGTGGAATTCTAGTCCCCTATCGAAACACAGTTCGATACAAAACAATCAAAGCAATACCTACAAAATTCCTACGAAATAGCTACTTGAATAAATTTGTCATCTTTTCCACTTCGGAAATCCAACACATTGTCGATACTCATCATCAAAACACCAATCAACAATATCATGTTATCTTCACGCAGCGGTCCCAAATCCTTCACGAAATTTCCTGAACTACCCCTTGAGCTTCAACGCTTGGTGTGGAAGTTCGCTTCTTTTGAACGTCGCCACATACCCGTGGCTGCAAAGGGATGTCATTCTCTCAGCAAGCAAGTCACCGGAGAAGATGGAACTAAACAACTTGTCAGATTTCGATCCGATACTCCCATTCCTACACTATTTAGTGTTTGCCGAGACTCGAGACTAGAAGCCAAGAGATACTACAAGAGAGCCCTCGTAGCCGAACACAACTTCAGATTCTTTTCCATCAGTCTCGTCCCCCGATTCTATATCAATCCCCACTGCGATGTCATTTGTCCCGCCGGCGACTTCTTCGGGGATATCACAGTTATGCTCGTAGCCGCGATGCACAAAGTCCAGTGTCAGAGCATCGCACTCGACGAACCACAATGGGGTGGGCTATTCACTGAGATCAACGGACCAGCCTATTTCGATCAATGGCTAACCAGCATCGTGCGTCCTCCTCACGCCTTGAAATCAATCACTCTCTACTCAGGAGCAAAATACGAAACCCCATACACAGATGGATCTCGAGGCTTTCCCCACACCATCTCGTCCGTGGATTGGGATATCATCCAAAAGACAGATCAATGCGCACTCGGCGTTGCAGTTACAGATCTCCATCGATCGATCATGAGATATCGAGACCTCATTCCGAAAATGGTGAAGGATCGCCATGATGTTGAAAAGGGTCTTATGGATCCGCCTACTCATCCATTGTTGGCTAGATTGCCGGTTTTTCATCATCTCGAGACGCAGGTTTTGGAATTGTGGACGCCTCCCAGGTTGAGCTTGTTGATGTATGCGATTCCGAACTCGCTTAGTGGGATTATGTATTCGAAGGATCCGTTTGAGGTTTGGGATTGTGGGGTTGGGGGGTGTCAGAATTGTACGTGGATGGAGAGTGTGGAGTGAGGGTGTGTTTTTTGGATGGGGAAAAAGGGGGAGGGAGGGGGAGGGGGAAGGAAGCTGGGGGTGAGGATAGGGGTAGAGGTGGAAGTGAAATATTTACTCGGGTCATTTAGTTTGGTAGGGAGAGTACGAGGGATTAGGCGAAGACCTTTGCCGGTTAGCTTTGGCTTTGGAGGATGGGGGGCGGGGGTAGATAGATTAATAACTTAACACATATCATTATGAAAATATTTCAGTCTGTGGAACTGTTAACCAGAGATGAATATTAATTTTCAAGTATTTTTACGTATTGTACATCTTGCCATATTATTTACGCATACTGTATTACCAGCATGCTTGGATATCTACAACTTGATCTGCTTCAAGGGTGATAGAGGGTATTCTGAGAGGTATCACGTGAATAGTGTAGTACTGCATATATGCATACGCATCTCTGTGGCACAGCAAAACAACAATCTTGAAAGAAATTATTTTGTCACTGGTGTCCCCCATTCATCTAATCAACACCACTTTGCAACCTCATCCTGCCCATCAACTTCACGATCAATATACACTCATCAACTATCCATCATGTCCCTGCTTTCTGATTCCACGGGCCCCCTTACGTTTATATGTATAATATTGCTGATGCTTCACATCTTATACACAATGCTTCTTTGGATGTCACCGATGCTTGTTTGGATGTCGCCGATCTTTGCGTTTTTCTTCTCGGGGTGGATGTTTCTTTTCAAGACGTTTCTTTGGGGTGTGGTTTGGATGCCTGTGTTTATTTTTCTTGGGATGAAGATTGATGATGCTTATCCTGAGTTGAAGTGGACCCCGTTCTTGTTGATTTTCTGGCTTTTATCTGGGGAGAGAGATAGAGTGCTTGAAGAGATGAGGAGGTGATAAATGATGGATTTTCGGTGGGGGAGGGATCTTGCATGGATGGGTGGAGTTGAGAATTGAGGAAGATGAGGGGAGAGTCTTATACCATAGGAAGAGAATGAATGACGATCAGGAATAAGAGGCGCTGAGAATGAAGGACTTAGCTTGGGTTCTGGAACATGTTTATATGAAGAATTGGCGAGACTGGTTGGCTTTGATGCTGTAGAGTGGAGGTTGTGAATGTGGGGTCAGCGATGAGTGGTTCTACGTCGTCCGAACCTCCGATTGGTCAAGTGTGTATGTCAGCCCGGCTATCGATATCTATCTTGACATCACCTCTCGGCACTGCTACCTAGTTTTCTGCTTGAGAACGCACCGTTCTTCTCTAAACTATGAAATTGACAGGATCATTCTTTTACTCGACATATAACCAAAGCAAGTGGGAGGATAGTACTTCGTTCGGTCGCACTTGTCTAAGGGCCCTTCAATGCATCAGGGGGCCGACATCATCTAAGACTCTCATTCGATTTTACGTCGATCAGGCTTCTCAATAGTTGAAGCTGCAGTTTTGTAGTAGAGCGCTTTATATATCTGGATCGACTCGAAACACATCGTGTTCTTGAAACGTCGCATTATATTCAAATCCTTGGAATCACATTTGATCCGCTAGCCTTATACATCAGACATCTATCAATATTCAATTTACTATGGATCAAGCCATTAAAACTCCGTCTGTTCCTAAGCCCGTCGCTATCAATTTCATTGGATTCCTCAAACTACCCATTGAAATACGCAATCAAATCTGGGAACTCGTTGCCAATCAACCACGCAATCTTGACATTTGGTACCGACGTCTCGGATATTTTGAAGAGGAACGTGGACAGTTCGCCTGTCAGGTGACGCGCTGGGTAACTCTTAGTGCCATACCTTCAATTCTGCATGTATCTCGAGAATCTCGTACCATCGGCCTCAAATTCTATAAATTGGATTTCGGAGTCAAAATGCCAACATATTATGGAATGAACATTACAAGTGAGCCGAGAATATATGTCAATTGGGATAGAGACAGAATTGTTGCTTTGCAGACAAATCAACATGGATATGGTGCCTTCAGCAACATGATTAATGCAGAAGAACGTCCATGTGGCACAAAGTTGCATAAAGTTGCCCTTCGTGCTGATCACTATGACCCCGGATTATCAAAATCTCTAGGGCGTCGTTTCGATGAAATATTGATTTTTTACGATCCTTTTGTGTTCTACGATAGACTCAAATCGAGGAATATAACGACTGAATTTGAGCCAATTACTGGGGTTGATTTAATTTGTAATAAAGAGAAACAGGCGTTGGATGCACATATTGCAGATATTGAGGAGGACGAAAGACGGTATGATGATGAAGTTACACGAGCTTTGGTAGAAGACAAACCGGTACCTGAGAGATTCAAAAATCACATTGTTGGATCTTGGAAAAGGCCGACAGTGAAACTGGGGCGGATGGTAACATATGGAAGGATGAGTGATCCTAGTAGCGAGAACGAAATATGGACTCATGCCGGCTGGGCTCCATTGAGTTCAGTTGACACGTGCACGAAATAATTTGCGACTAGGTCAAGAGATGTTACCACTCATACGAAAGGTTCTGTCCTGAGTTTTCAATTCATAATCAAGGGTTGGAAACTCGAGTGCCTCATCCACCATTTTGAATTTTGGACAGCCTACAATTGGAATGTAAAGATATTAGGAAGTTCAAGCGGGTTACATACTATGGAAGATAGAAAATTGAGAGCAAAATATGGACAAGGACTGTGACTGGACAACCAAAAAAAAATGATATTCCTGATTCGATATGACTATTCTCTAATTGAGAGCAAGTTTATAGGCAAGTTAGTTAGGATGATTGGGACTGCTGGATGGGTTTTGAGAAAGTTTGGATATATTCTAGGCCTAGTCTATTTCAAGATAGTCCTTCGTTAGTCAGATAGCTAGTCGATAATACTAACACTTCTTGACAGCATAGTTGGCACTGCTAGAAGGACCATCTACACGATTTAAAGAAGAAGACGTAACGTTTGTGAGGCTATTTAAATGACAAATTCACATGGAGAAATTGAAACGTGGTATGAAGCTTTTTATTTTACTTGTTCTGTTGTGAGCAAACGTCTCGATGAGTCAGCGGACCGAAAAGGACTTATGTAGGCGAAAGATGTGACGATGAATGCTGTGGCTACGCAAGTCTTGATAGTCTTTCGGGGGTAATATGTATGCTCAATTATAATCTCGCTGGGCGAGAAAGATTGCGATGCTTAATCCTTCATAATCGACAAACTCCTTAAATTTGCATTTCCGATCATTGACTAGTCTTCTCAATGCTACGTTATTCCACAAGATACCTTTTTCTACTTCACACTTACGGTTGTTATAAGAATATGGCTGTATTGTATATATATTCTAGCGTGGCTCGCCGTTCCTCGGGAAAGGACCGCAGATATGGTTGCGTACAAGATCAAGTTTGGAGAGACAGTACCGCGTAGATGACGCGAACCTTGAAAATCACCGTTGCCTCTTCGCTTAGCAATCTTAATCAGATCGAGAATTGTTAGTGCCTAGATACATGTTCACGGTAAGCATACATGTTCTTAAGAAGCCGTATGGCTGTATGAGTATGCAAAATAAACTCATCGCGTTCGAAGTTCGCGATACCGTAAGTAAATCTGACAAATCATGACCGTAAGTAAAAGTATTCAATGCTTTGGGTCACTTACTTAAAGGGAGCTTCCCCCCCTCCCCAATCAACTTCATATTCTCATTCTGTCAAAATCAAAGTCGACTGACACCAACTTACTATTTATCTCTCCACCATCGAAATACAACAGTTTCACCATTAAATCTTACACTTATCGAACCCTAGTAACATCATCACAAAATATGTCTTACTCGTTCTTCAATCACTCTGCAGGCGCTATAACTCACAAGAGAAGCTTAATACCATCGGCCACTGGCCCTGATATCTCTTCGTTCCTAAAAGAGCTGCAAGAAGACTTCCCTGATTCACCCATCACCCAAGAGTCCCCGGCAAAGAAAGAATGTCTGCAGTCACCTCTACCTCCCCGACCAAACTACTCAATCGTCCCCTCAACCATTGATCTCGAAGAGCAATCACGTAAACCTCATCTAGATACATTCCATAAGTTCAAGGACCTTCCACTGGAACTTCGAATCAAGATATATGAATTTTCATCTCTGGAACCAAGAGCAGTTCCCATTTGGCCCATCTCTACCGACCGAAAAAACGAAAACGTCGAATTCCGATTTGCATCCGAGACTCCTGCCATCATGCAAGTCTGTCACGAAGCTCGAAGAGAATCACAAAAGCTTGACATCTATGCACGAACATCCGATACTCCATCTCCACTCCCACGTATCTGGTTGAAGCCTAGTATCGATATCATCTGCCCTGTACGCAACGGCAATGCCATCTGGACCGTTTTCCAGTTCTTGAAATTCAGCCAGATGATAAACTGCTTCAACATCGAACGCTTATGTATTGATGCTTTTGAGTTTCAATGCTCCCAGCTAACAGACAACTTGCACACGTTTGTCGTCATTCCAAAGTGGATGAATCATAATCTTCGCCAGATTATGGCTTACAGCCCATTGCATCCCATCGATATCCATCGTCAGCCCCTCAGAATCGTCAATTCTACCAAGCTCAATCTTGAACAAGACTCCGAGGAAGTCATGATGCATTCTATGGAGGCGGATAGCAGATTCGAGGAACTGGAAGATTTGATGGGGAATCTTAGTTCTTTCCAAAGAGCTCAGAATGAGTTGGATAAGACGACGGGTGAAAGATTGGTTCACATGCCTAGCTGGCTCTATAAGAATCGGAAAACATGGACTCAACCGGAGCTCATGCGCTGTGCGGCCTTGTAGGCTTGAGATACGAAGGACTTTTGGGGCGGATGTTGTATATTGGTTCTGTCAGTACACTGCTGAGCGATACAATGTACTCGCTGGGGGATGTAGGTACTGCTGGCTAATTTTATGAGTTGTCGCAAAAGCGCACTCTGTGGGATGTGGCCGCTTCTTTCCAATACTAAATGAGGGTCTTCCAATACAATTTCTGAGATCTCACGAAAAGGTGCATGGGCGTAGGAATCTGGGTGATGGATATCGTTTCAGTATTCTCCTAGTTCTTTGGTTGATCGCAGGAAGACTTTCTGTTCTTCGCTGGGTTTACTTTTTATTTCACATTATTTTAGCTAGATAAATTTTGCATTAATTCTGATGACTTCCAATAGAATCGTACCAATTAATTCATCATGGATCTTGTGCCTTATGTATCCCGTGACAATATGCTTTGTGATCAACGTATAAATGAACCATTCAATCTTTACAGACAAATTAAAGTGACAACTTCAGTGGTAATTATAACTGACTAATTATACTATAATCTTATGACCCTAAGTCCTAACGGTATCCCTTGACTTAAATTCATCAGCTCCTGCAGATGTTACATTTTTAGTGCGCGTCACAGATACAAAGTATAGAAATGTCAGATCATGAGCCCCTATGTTTGTCATAGGAATGTTATCATTTATTAAAATATATGAAGCTCTATGAAATTGAGAATGTTCAAAGTGCTAGGATTTAAGGCTTTTAAGCATGATTATCTTGTTATTACTGACTATGAAGTCTTCAAAATAGGTCTTGGCGTGTTCTATTCTAGGTTCAGAGCTACGAGAGCTACCTCTATGCAATAAATTCGTGCCCTAGTGCGCGCTCATGCGTGCACAATCACTCATATTGCAACGATTACATATGTAGCTGCGAAATTTGAGTAGATTTTATAATCACGTTGCTGATTATTGAGACTTGCTGATACCGAGAACTTGGCGTTCTACAATGGCACATGAAGCAAATCTTCCTATCAATAATTCAAGTCGATTAGAGAATCACGTGGAATATATTACAGCCACTTGTTTTGTTCAGCTACCTACCTATTGAATATATAAATTCACCAAGTACTATTCAAAACATCGTTAATAGACTAGCGAGACACTAGCGTCATTATATACAAGCGAAATGAAGTCATTTTGCTATTTAAAGATCACTGTATCTCTACCTCAAATAAACTCGACAAAGATCATGACAAGATTGAATTCGTTTTTCATAGCAAATCTTATGAATATTAAGACGCATACTCGATGATAATTATTTGACTCCATTAAGATCACATTGATTGGTAACACACCAGCTTTCTATAAAATTTCAAACACGTGATAAAGTGAGTCAAATTCCTTGCCACTGATAATTCACACCTGAATCCGTTTGTAACGCTTTGCTGCTACTGACTGACTTTCTTTTAAATAGAACTCTTTTGATATCAAAATTGGGATCGATCTTCAAATTTTCAACATTCAATCTATCTATCTCGGTCAGGTCTGTTGAGACGAAAGGCGCATTCAATGAGCTCCAAGGAAAAATCTACAAACGTTGTCAATATGTCTGCCAACAACGGGATTTTCAAAATCTACGATACCCCAACCAATATGGATATTCGCTTCAGTCGGCGATTCCCAGCAGATATTGAGTCAATGATATTTGAGGGAGCCTGTTATAACAAACGTTTTGTATGGATAGGCGAGTCGTGGTATACTGTCGCAACCGATAGCGGATCCTCAAAATTCAGGCGGTCTTCTCGCTTTCGAAGTAATGAACCTGTTCCAGCTATCATGCACGTCAATGCAAATGCTCGAGAGATAGCTTTACGTCATTACAAAGCTGGTTTCGCCATCCAGGGGGATTTCAACAAGGTTGACTCACCAGAGATAGAGAACCATCGCATCTATCTAAATTCAACCTCTGATATTGTTTGCCCGGTAGGTAAACTGTATCGTTATTTTGTGGAATGCTTGAAAGATTTGAAGGTAGGGAAGGTTGCCATGGATATCTTACCTCCTCTCAATATTTTCAGAGGGCATTTCAATTATGCCATCTGCCCAAGAAATGATTCCCATAAAGCTGACTGGGTCAATGGAGATAATGGGCCTACAAGTCTTTGGCTTCATGATCAACCTATAGCGCGTTTTCATGGGACAGATATAAGCGTATTCTATGGCTCGTCACAAGTTGCATTATTTTACTGCTGTGATGCAATGAAACGTACCAATAATTTGGCTAGGAGACTCGCCGCAACTCATTCACTACAAGTCAGAAAGGATCACGATAAGGGAAATGAAGGAACCCAGGCACAGAGGTTACTTGAATTTCCAGAACAACTCTTCGAAAAATCAAGCAACTGGCAGAGACCTAGGAGCAGGCTCTTGCTTCAATGGCATTAAATCTAGTAAGGAGTTTGGAAATTCTGGAGGGGGAGTCTTTTATGAATGACACTTTTTCAGCCTTGTTTAATCGAGAATGAGGACATCCTCGCATGTTTCAATCTAAGTTTATGTTCAAGAATCATGGATTATAGGAAAGTCTCAGAGTTCTCAATGATTTTCTATCAAAATTGTTTAGTGGTCATTGTGGTTGATTCTGATTCACAAGCAAGTTCGGAGGATTGTCTTGTGGGAATGGAATAAGGATGCGTGGTATCCAAGTGGTCACGAGAATTCTATTTGGTTTCTGGGAGAAAGGAAAGGGTATCTAGGGGCTGCAATTTTTGGTGAGCCATGGGCAGCTTTTAAGACCTCCAGGTTAGATGTACTTTAGTAAGTACTGTATTATTGATGTTATCACTCTTCTCTCTAGATCTTCTACCTTCAAGTACCTAGGTCTTAATGAATTATATCTGCAACTTTGTGATAGATTCCAATAATCTACATTGTTATCTGTATGTGATTTGGCGAAACTCGGTATTTTTCTTAAAACACGTCTTACGCTAGTACTAGCCTGGATGCCTAGATCCCCTTAAACTCGCGCATCAGCTACACTCAAAGATTCATACAATTACACCTCTACAGACTTCCTAGCGCTGTTGCACCGTAATGATAAGCGAGCTGTCATACCCAGTATGTAACAACTCATTTACGGTATTTTTGACTCATCTGATTATCAATACAACGTTCAATAACCCGCGCTCTCTTGCTACGGTCTTAGTCGCTTAGCTCGGTTGTGTCTGGCTTCTCCCTATTCCCTTAAAAGCCTTTTAATTTCCCGTTCCAATTTCTGATTTTTATCTCCCTCTTCTTTACAACATCAGTCAAACGCAACTTCCAGAAGAACATCAAATCCACTTCAAATAAAACTCGATTTCACACACAAACCTCATCTTCCAACCAGATTCCTGAGATCCGAAGTCCACGAGCTTTGCTACGAACGCACATCATCGTATCAGAAAACCACAGCTTTCAACCTTTCAAGATAGAACCATGTTTAGAACAACCTCACAGGGCTTCAATAGCTCGCAACAGAAGTCTCTCGGCTTCTTGGAACAACACTTGAGCACCTTTCATCCATTTGCCCGCTTGCCAAAAGAACTGCGACTGATGATCTGGGAAGAAGCTTGCCGAGATGAGCGCACTGTCACCGTTTTCTCAAGAGATAGGGTTTTGGACGCAAAATTCTCTCAAGGTCATGGCAACTTACCATTCTACACCTTCAGAAGTCGCAATTCAATCCCGGGGGTCCTTCACGCAAACAGCGAATCCAGATTTATTGCCATGAAGTTCTATTTACCCGTCTTTGACACTCGAACAGAATTCCCACTTGTTACTACATTGGGTACTGGAACAGTCTCATCAATCTGGATCAACCCATCAACTGATCTCATCTGTCCTATGACATCCATGACCAATGACCAGTGCGACGCTTTGGCCGAGAAGATGTCTGATGTGAAGGTTGAACGCATTGCTTTGAATGATTGTGCATTCCAGAGATCCGCATCGATTCCTTGCGATAAATGGGGCTCATTCTCGACCCTAACGATTCCTTTTTGGATGCACGAGAATATCAGAGAGGTCACAATCTACACCTCCCGATATTTGGTTCAACCTGATGACGACATTGAGTTGACTAAGTTCGATCGTAAGGCTGCATTTCCTCCCAAGATGATGAAGTCGAAGATGGAGATTTCCCGTCGACAAAACACATCTTTTGGGAATCTTCAAAAGATCTTGAAGCAACAGCTTCTTGAAGATGAGAAGAGCAAGAAGTACGGACTTGAGTGCGCCAAGCTTGCTGCTTGCCCACAGTGGTTGTTCGACTGCCGTGGAGAATGGACTAGACCAGAGCAAAGAGATATGGTTGTAAATCCTGCCAATTCTGTCACGAATTTTGGGAGATAGATTGTTTGCGGAGAGGATGGGCTGGAGGATTGACGGGAAATCATTTCGGGAAATCCTAGGCTTTGGGTTTGGGGGTGGGAAACATCGGAAATGTATTATTTTAGCAATTCTATCATGATACATCATCAGTAAATAAAATATTTATCTTAACATAACATGTCTGTATGCCAGTAATTCATAATGTGCCAGTGCGGGGGAAGTTTGTGACTCGCGTTGATTTGTCGAATTAGCGAAAATGAGGGATCACACAAGGGAAGTTTTGTGACGAATGATTCATCGCTAGGTACCTAGCAAATTGACACAATAAGAAATTTCATAGTGAATAGTACTCTCTATGATTAGCTGAGAATTTTGGCACGCTTTCTGAAAAGTTTACTCATCTCTCGAGAAATGGCCGAGTGACGTGTGTAACAATTCTTTCCGTTCGAGACTAAGTATAGCACAATGCATATTGAGCTCTTGAATTTATTAGCAAACAAGTAAATTATCCTTTTTAGAAATTAATCATCGTGAATATAGAGACTTCGAGAGTATCTGAGGTTGGGAAACATGGTAATGAAGGGGTAGCTCAGTGATTTGATACTGTTAATGTCAGAATGTAATACTAAGTGAGGGGTGAAGAACAGTCAAATCTGTGGAATCTTTAAGGTCCCACGCATTTCTGGTTTTTTTTAAGGCAATCAAGAGTATTGGAGGTTATAGTTTATAATAATAAGAATAATTATTATCATAATAATAGTGGAAGATCTAATTAGTTTAGGTTTAGAGATAAATCGAATATATATAATAAAAATTAAATTGAAATCAATTCATAAGAGCTAGGTTGAATTGAAATGAAATTGCTTGCTTTTGATAGATTTTCTTTAAAGAATAGCCTAGGTTTATATAGTTTGTAATGAAATTCTAGTATTTTCTATACTTATAAATAAAATCGATTTAAATTGAATCTTGTAAAATCATTTTATATAACAAAAAGAAAATACAATTAATCAATTTTAATTAATTTAATAATAATTTTTATATATATTTTCATTTGATTTTATTTCATTCTATTTTATTATAAATCAATTTAATAAGAGATATTATTAACGTGGTTTATCATCGAGTGGACTATATCATCGAGTGAATCATCATTTTTATATATAAAATTCGTTTGTATATAACCATACACTTTCTTTATTTATTGATAGAATTTTCTAAAAATTAAAAATTTTAATTTTAATTATATAAATAATATAAAAATCTAATTATTTATTAAAAATTCAAATTATTATAATAGTTATTATAGAAATATTTCTTTTGTAACGAAAATCGTAACAAATTCCATTTTTTATATATAAAATAATAGGAATTCTTATATAAATATTAGATTTGTAAAAAGCTTATTTTTTTTAATTATTTTTTATTCTTTTTTTTCTTCAAAATAATAATTGATTATTAAAATAAAAATATTAAAAAAGCATTACTTTTAGCGTATTTTGAAGTGGCCCACTCGATGATATGATCCACTCGATGATAAAGCACGTTATATAATTATATAATAATATAATTTTATAATATAAAATCCATCTATCCGATAAGACAAGGTCGTCTATAAGCGTTTGTCTACTTGAAATGACAAGCGTTTAGATGCGGATACTGTCTTTTCAAATACGTAATAAAATCATATCAATCATCAAGATATCTCTTAATTAGTAAGATATTAATAAGTGATTTTGTAAACTTATCATGAATTTTCATAAAGAGATAACATCAATTTCAAATGATTAATAGTGATTTATTCAATAAAAGTATGACTAAATACAACAAGCAGTGACGACCCACTAATATAAGAACTAATGTGACTGATGAAAACGGGCAAACCAAGTCTTATTTTTATCCAATAATCCCAAATCAAAGCCTGGTGATCAAGACAATCCGTAAATCTCCAAAAATAACTGTGTGGTAGAGTTTGCGCTTTCTGCATTCATGTTGATGTAAAACAGAATAGACTCAGACATCAATCACATGTGGGTATTGTGTCACTCATACAAAAGTTCACGTGTAAACTTGCTTGTGTGGAATGTGTAGTTGCAATTGCACAGAATTATTATAAGTGGGGGAAATAACACCCATTTTGCAACTCATGTCTCTTAACTGAGGAGTTTCATGACTTCTCCTCAGTGTAGGCAATAGTATTTCCCGTATTTCATATATGGGCTAGTTTAGTGGTGCGTATCGATTTTTTTCGAAATATATATAACATGGTTTATCAGTGAGCAGATCATATCAATGAACGGGTTATTTCGAAAACCATCTGAATCAAGCTTTTTAAAATATAGATTTTCTATTAATCTAATTTTTATAAAATAGTTTCATTATTTTCTAAAAAAGAAAGGAAATTGTTACGATTTTTGTTACAAAAAAACTATTTTTATAATAACAATTTTATAAATTCTAATTTCTTAAAATCAATTAGATTTTTAAAATTATTTTATATTCAAATATTTTATAATAAATTTTCAGAAAATTATATTTATAAATAAAGAAAGTATACAATTACGCACAAACGAATTTTGTATATAAAATAAGTGATTTATTTACTAATATAATCCGCTAACTAATAAACCACGTTATATATAATATTAAATTCAATATTACTAAAGATATTCAATATTATTTAAACTTTCGATATTATTAGTAATATACTAAAATATTGAAATTCAATGTAAAATATGTATTTCTATTTATATTAAGTAATAAAACTCTATTCCTTATTTCAAATCGAATTAAGATCCCTTATTTCTAGTCTAATTTGGTATGAAATAAATAATTTATATTGAATCCCAATATATCAGTATATCATTAGTATTCTTTAGATATATAAATATATATAAAAATGATATAACCTTTTTTTTTAAATATATTAGCTGTAATATCAATATATTAATATATATCATAGTTTTACTGTAGTATACTATTGCCTACACTGCTTCTCCTCATTGAAGTAGTTGATCGCTATTGATAACCCCTTTCCAGTATATCTTATTCAACACATTTTTGTTACGAGATGTTTTGCCTTTACTTTTAACAGTTGAGATGCACATTTACTTTGTCTAAAAAGAAGATTATATGAATATATAGCTCTATAGACTAAAAATAAGATTCAAGCATGTCCCTTATAAGTACTCTGTTCATAGTCATCTAATCGCCGTAAGACAATCTAAGAAATAAGCCAACCTTAACCGCGCCATACTTATTATAGTCTATATTGAACTTTAACAGATACAGACCCAGGTTATTTTCACAGTATGATCGGAATTTTCAGTTTTCGATTACCAATATTCGTACGATTTGCTCGGACGAATTTTTCACTTATGTAACTCTCAATCTAGAAAAGCCTTGAATGAGTCTTTATCATTGTAATTTTTCAACACTAAATCAGAAGTACTCCCTTCTTGGGACTTTCCCGCATGAATTCCCATATCATGAGTAATGCGCTGCTATATTCCCCAACCAAATATTCCCATACCATATCCGTCTCGATGGACTCGCAGAATCTCATTCAAAAGCTCTGAAAATATCCTATCCTCAATATTCAGCTCAAGTAAACCCAAGATTAGAGGAAACAGAGTTGTATGGTAATGGAGCTTAACGACCAGGTCTTATGTATAGCCAGCCGCGTATGAGAAACACAATCTCCAGAATATGAATCAATCATGTAATACCGATTCAAATTATCCAACAGTACCAACATCAAAAAGGTCCAACCAAAGCTATTGTGCTGGTAACTATTACCATTGTGGCATAGGCATGCTGAGAACTGAGAGAAAGCGAGTTTCAGAGGCACGTGTCTCGATCATCAATCTGGGTTGTGCAACTGACCAATCGCTCTCAACATCAAAAAGCCATTGAGGAACATCAGTGAGCTTGACTCTTGCTTTACCCTCTCTTTCTATCGATTTATCTTGCCACTTCTGGTCTGCCTGAAGTCGGGCCAGCCTTCTGTATCCTCTTTTAGCATCGAGTATCTGGTCCCAATGCTTGTGTAATTGATGGGATCTGTGGAAATGGAATCCCCATTGCTCGTCTGAAGTTCCATCGTTAGGTACGAAGGAGAGTTCTACATCTGTATTCAAACGTTGATATGTGATGTAGTAAAATATATCCTTGACATATGGGCTCCAATTTGAGATTCCTTCCTTATGGAAAAATTTCTGCCATGTCTCGCCATTATGGTGTGCATCATCGGTCGCGTAATCATTAATTGCAATCCTCGAAACTTGAAGGATTTGGAAGAAAAGTTTGAGACCAACTTTAAAGTTGTGAGTGTTCCACTCCTGAACGGGACAAAATCTATCGATCGCGGGATCGAACCAGAAGTTAGGTGAAAGATGTTGCACCGTGAACATGTCGTTAGCCTTCAGGCGGTTATCCAATAGACAGTAGCGTTTTCTGGCCGCCTCGTAATAATCTTTACACGCCATGAAGCCCTCTGGAATTGGAATATCGGTTCGAAACTTGAATCCTCCTGGGCCTAATTGTGGCATAATTCCAACTGGAACATTCCGCGGACTTAGATCGACGGCTTTTTCCCAAATCATGAGCTGGGCCTCTCTTGGAAGGGTTCTGAAAGATGTGCATTTATCTAGCACTACTCGTCGAGAGGAGACGGGGGCTAAGACGTGGCCATATGGCGGAATTGATGAAGATTGGGCCGGGAGATTAGCGCTCAACATTTGCTCAGTGGCATTTGGTAAACTATTGTATCCAACATTCTGTGTCGAACTAGGAGTTGCTTGCATCAAATTTGTAGAAGCTTCAAGGGCTGGTGTCGCATTAGATATAACATCTGGTAGAGGGTGTTGAACACTTGGTCCTGCTCGTCGTAAACGTTTAATGGGGTTTCTTCGGTTTGTCATTTTTTCAAAAGGAGGTATTATTGAGAAACGAAATTTTCAATAACAAATGTGTTTTTCGAAGGAATTTGTGTATTGAAAAAATGTTAACAATTTGATTTTGAAAAAATAAACATATTTATGCCACATGAAATACGGTCGAGCGTATTTACACACAATCAATTTCTTTAGAAGTGAATAATTAATACTGTAGCACCACATCTTACTAAGCGGTATAGACGGTAAAAATTGGCGACTGCACCAGTCCATTATTTCTAGCTTAGGCCCCAACAGAACTTTCAAAGGTATGTCACTGTATCAGAAATGTGTATTCATTCTACAGGCTCAAATTAACGGTTAAGATTCGTATCACTCAGTAAATTCTGTTTGTAAAAGATGAAGTTATTAGGTAGCACTACACATCACGGTGAGATTTGATGCGGGGAAACGAATTGCGCAGGTTGAGGAAACGTCTCGCTTAATTCTCAGGAGTCGGAATTCTCAATCTGGCGCAAGTATGTAATGAATATAACTTCGTATCACCTTATAATACGGCGTGATATTAACATTTATTTATTTGCATGTTCGCGCGGTCGCGGTCTTGATGGGCGAAAAGTGCTTAAGTAGTTTTCAGAAATGCTGAGATTCTCTTCCCAAAACATCTTCTCCTTTAGATCTTACTGTTACTTGAATCTTCCACGAAATATTGATAAAAAAATTCGATATCTATCAGTGGTAGCAATCAATTAGACTAATTTTCCTTCTCAGATCACCTAAATATTGAATCTTCCTCCTATCGATCACCTTCCTTCCATCAATCAGCAACAAGAATCAACATCAATATCGACCGCCATGTCTCAAAACTCAACTCAAATTGTTTCTATGTCTTCTACATCTCAAGGAAAAATGAGAGTTAATCGAACTACTATGGAAAATATCCCACAAGAGTTGTTCGAAAGGATCTGGGAGATGGCAGATACTGGATTGAGTCGGGACGTCCCTGTTAGCTGCAGACTTGTTGGTAACAGCTTCGAGATCTTTAGTACAGAAGCAAGATCCAATATCACAGCATTGGGCATCCATCGGCGATCAAGACAATGGGTCAACACAGAAAACAACGTAGCAAGGCTTTTGCAGAAAGGCGGGCACAGGGGACCTCACACTCAGGTCAAATCGCTCTATCTTGATCCTAGACGTGACCGAATCTGCCCAATCAACGAGTCACAATGGTCAAGAGAAGCCGTTGAGTTTTTCTACTGGGCTGTGAAAGCCATCGGAGTCGAGCGCATCGCTGTTAGTGATTGCTCTCATACGCTTGGCATAGACACCAATGCTCGAGGACCTTGGGCTTCCTTCTACTGGTGGTCTAGTATCGACAACTGGAGCTTAACTTTCACAGAAACATTGATGTACACGACAAAGATTGATCTTGACGTGCATCAAGGAATAAAATTTGTCTATTGGAATGGAGCTGCGATCACTCTGGGTCATCGCGAAAAGAGAACTCGCGAAGGCCAGAGATTGAAGGCTCGACTTGCAACCCGAAAACTTCAGGTCGCAGAGAAGAAGTAAAATGCGGCAAACGATGTTGCAAAATGCGAAGGGCTCCCGAGAACAAAGCAGGATGGGGTACCCACCTGGTTATTCGAACCTGGGCGCATTAGACGTGACTTTAACTTGATACCGATGGTCAAAGTGGGCTCGCTCGATCCTGCGAATTGATTTTTTGCGAATGGTGATGACAATCCCGCAAAATTAACGAGAGAGCCGCTTTCCAGACTAATGCCGACACCTATCCCAAGAGTAGGGAGAATGAGCAGCCCGGTGCCGCACAAGATGAAGGTGGTGGAGATGGCAATAGTGGCGACGAGAATGATGGAGACAGTGGCGAGGATGAAGACGAGGAGCCAGAGCCAGACGAGGGCATCGAAGATTAAAACATTGATAGCTACTTCGCCGGTTAGGTAATCGAGGTAGAATAGTAACACAAATCCATATAATAAATATCTTGAATTCATTGCATCGCTCATTGCAGTCAAAATGGAATTTTCGGGCTTTGAGGCTTATTGGCACATCGATTATCACAAATTTCCTATAGCGCATCAAATTCAAAGGCCATCTATAGATGATTGTTGGTGGCGATTCAATACACGTACAGAGAATTCTCTATAGCTTTCAGTTCATCCTCGATTTATGAATAAGGCTGAAGCTAAATTACATTACGCGACTTGGTCAAATGCACCATGCCTAGCTATATAAGCCGGGAAAAGCGTAGAGCAAGGTGTGATGACGTGAAATACACAAAATTGAATAACAGGATCTGTTAGAAACTTGATCGATAAACTACTCATTGTGAGGCCAGATTTTGATATGCATAGACCTTCTCTTATATAGGTGCGACCAAGAAACTATTTGTTGGGCTGAGATACATTCTCTGCTATGTATGAGCTCAGGAGATGTATTGTAATTTCGAACAGCTAGCTCATTTAATATTTCTGAAAAGCTCACAGATAAGCGCTAAGAGTACAGGGTAAAGTAAAATTGCTATAATATCAAAAACGTGAGACATGGAATTTGAAATCAATCTCGCCATAATACAAGAATGAAACTTTTTCTGGTCATAAAAATCAACTATTCAACGAAATTCCTCTATCTTCGCTATCCTCACCCCTAAACACGCAGCCAAAACCACTATTCCTTATCTCCTCTTAAAAAGGAACTCAGTTAGCATAAATGCTAAGTGACCAAATGAATTCAAAAGCTAAGCATAGCAGTACAAGAGAACGTGGACCCTTCGTGACCAGGGAAAGAACAAAGAAAGAGCTTTGCTTATACTGTATATAATAAGGATAATACCAAGATATCTGTATGTACGGCGTTTTACACCTTGTGGTCCTCACTAATAGCGCGATAGCGTGAACAGTTCGCGCTGTCGCGCTGTTGAGCAGATGATTCAGGCAATTCTATGAATCACTGGTAGTTTTCTATAAAGGCTAGATTATCCCTTCTGCCAAAATATCATTCTGGACACTTTCAAGACTTCAATTAATAAATCTTATCTCGCAATACTATTCTGATAAAGTTCTACAACTACAAAGTTTTCAAACCATCCTTTCTACCATTAACTTTAGATTCAAGCTTAATTTCGAAGTGACAATACCTAACGCGACAATGGAGAACCCAAGATCATCAATCAATAAACAGGTGGATTCATCCGGTGGAATTGACAGGGAAATCACAAATATGGATGCGCCATATCAGGTCAACAATCAATCTGCGCCACATTCTGCCTCCGATATCTTTAGGAAAGCACCTATTCATCTTCCGAACGAAATATTGGATCTCATGTGGAGCTATACAGATGTTGTAGAACCACGAAACGTTACAGTCACATGTAAGAAGGTTGGAGAAAGCTTTGAACTATGGAGTAATGAGCCATATTCCATAGAATTGCGCGTTTGCCGACAATCTAGACAGTGGTTCAAGGACCAATATCGCAACGAGCGACGCAACGTAGCTTCCCTTGCGCAAATCGGAGGCTATGTAGGACCACTGAAACCACTCAAGAATCTTTGGTTCGATCCACTGGCTGATCGCATTTACCCTATCCTCGAGGGGGATTGAAGCGATGAGGCTTTCATTACCATGTGCAACGTCATGCAAGCCGCTAAAGTTGTCAGAATTGCAGTGAGTGACTGTTCGCACGAACCCGCCATCTACAGTCCTTGGGCCGGCCTACTACAGACTCAGCAACATCTATAATTGGAGCTTGAGTTTCAGAGAAACTGCCATTTATACAACCAAGAGCGATATCAATGAGAACCGCCAACTCAAGCTCGTTGAATGGAAAGAAGGAAATACCAAGTTGGACATGTTGCAGGAGAAACGCCGCAGAATCCAGACTAATTACAAGGCTCTGCCAACCTTTAAGAAGATCTCGGAAGCATACGCAGACCAAAGCGTTGCAGATGCTAAAGCGAAACTTGAGGATTATATAGCAAGGAAAGTCCGCAATCTTCCAATCTGGTTGTACCAGAATAAGGAGGAATGGGAGGGTCTGAAGTTGCAGATCATGGTTGAAGCTGGCACCCTTGATCGCCAAGAAAAGTATCTGGGTAACGAATCATCGGACAGCGATGACGGTAACGATGATAGGGAATGTGGCTACGCGCACAGCAAAAATGTCGACGAAGAGACCAGCGAGGAGGATGAAGATGAGGAACCTGAGGAAGATGAGAGTATCACGGACGAGAACAGCGACTATGATACTGAGAATTAAGCAGTGGCTAGCTGAATCAACAGGGCTGTTCTCTTTGAGAATCAAGGTTTTTATATCATATCGTCAGCTTCACATAGCCAATAATATCGAATGAAATCCACTGTATGAAAATCTCGAACAATTACGAAGTACCATGTTACTCTTAACACCGAATCTCGCACAACATGTTCAGGAGATTATGAAGTAAAAGAAGTACTTGAAAGTAGCAATGTATCTTAGGAAAGACTAGTGGGAAATACAGAAAACCCAAACAGATCAATTTAATACAATTGAATACCAAAAATATAATGAATGTGACTTTGAAAGATGAAAGACGTGGTGAGTATCAACCCTTTTCTTAAATTTTTGCGTCATTCAAGCAGTGTAGGCAATAGTATACTACAGTGAAATTGTAGCGCGTATTAGCATATTGATATTGCAGCTAGTATGTATAGAAAGGAGGTTATATTACTCTTGTACATATTCATATACTAAAGAATACTAATAATATACTGAAATACTAGAATTCAATATAAAATATACATTCCTATCCAAATTAGATTAGAAATAAGGGATTCTCATTCAATTTGAAATAAGAAATGGAAACTTATCACCTAATACAAATAGGAATGTATATTTTATATTGGATTTCAGTATTTCAGTATATTACTAATGATATTGAATAATTAAATGATATTGAATACTTTCAGTGGTATTGAATTCTGTACCACATACGTACGTATTTCGAAAAAATTCGATACATACCACTAAATTAACCCGTATACGGAATACGGGAAATACTATTGCTTACACTGCATTCAAGTGGTAGGTACCCATGCACTCTTTACTATGTTAAGGCTAGCTCCTTCAAGAGAAGTATCCTCCTTGAAAGGCATATTCCAAATATGAGGCGTACTTACGCTCATAATCTAATCCAAGCATCCTTGATCTTTCAAAGATGCTTTGTGAAGTTTGGTGCTCCTTCTTTTGACGATGATCACTAGATCTCGGTGAGAATTCATTTTCCATGGCTGTATCATTCTGTCTGGATTGAACTTCACAACATGTGGTTGATTTCTACTGACTTGTGTTTCCTATAATTGTGTAATTCAGGCTGTGGTTCATTTATGTGTGAGCATGTCCTACAAAAAGGGCACACTTCTGTTAGGTTTCATTTCCCAAAGTTATACATTTATGTTGTGACTTATTTTGGTCACGTTATGGGTTTACTATTTATCTTTTCCTAGTCAGCCTTTAAAAAGAAACATGTTTGCATATTAGTTGCGATTAATTATGTGTTGATCTGTATAGCAAGCCTGCCAATGTGACAGCCACCAAGTAGGGCGATGATTGTTGGTTGAGCTGCTCTAGTGATGCAACGACTTTATTCAGATTAAAAATGCATGAGTACAAGTGATTCCGGTACTCAATACACCAATCAACCTAAAATAAGCATATTAAAGCTGATAAATGGTCTGTCTGGGATTGCACTCAGTGAAAAGTTCTTGGTATAGTAATTAGAAAGCAAAGGCATACAGAAATACCAGAGAAGTCTTCTGAAGTATTGAACTAAGCCTCCGTGAATTTTCCTTATAATCCATCAATAGACTATCGCTCAAAATCCAATGACTAGCCTGAAAAAAGATAAATTTATCCAAGCACTATGAGCTTTGTGTACAAAAAAATACCCAAGTAAAAAAATCCTTCTTTTTCTTCCGGGCGATACCCATTCTGAGAGTCCAGTAAAGATCAGTAAAGGTGTTGGCCCAAAAATTCATTTGGATATTTTGCTTGATTCTCTTGAAACATGCGCATCGAAGCTATCTCCAGTGAATTTCTTCCATCTGTTCCTGACTGTCAACCGAAGATAGCCGAAGGTCTAGGCACAAAATTCCGCAAGATTACTATCATAGCTACATTGAACTCCAAACTCAATGGCCATAGTAGCATTGTGTGTTACAGGAAAGTGTTTCACACTTTCTGAGAACATCCCCAGCATCGAAGCTCATGCATGAAAGTTTGTGTTATACATGTATTTTTGAATCCCTGATGTTTTAAGCGATGTAACCTACTATACATGGTTATGAAAACTAAGCAGCCTTGTCTTGCCTAGATTGGAGGGCAAAATCAGAGCTTATTTCTTTAATACTTACTGGAGAGTAGGGAGAAGGTCCAAGCCAAGACACCATATCATACCGCCGTATCACTGAAGTTAGACAGAGCGCTTGTTGATAGCCATTGAGCAGAAGCCCCAGGCATTCATCAGTGCTCAGCAAGGTATCTGCTCTGATATCACGATTCTAGTAAAGTTATACTATTTGGCTTCGTAGTCGGATTGAAGACACAGATCTTTTAGATGTTCTCAAGCATCGTGTCGTTCAAAAATATGAATGCTGTAGCCACAAACTTAAGATTCGAATCCACCACGTGATTCGATGAGCTTCTCTTAATCATAAACTTGTCCTATGGTTTTCTTGTACACAATAGAAACCATTGTTTAGGATCGAATCGACGGCCCGATGACGGGGCAGTCCTTGAGATGATGGACATGATCTTTGATATAGGTCTTGGGTCTCTAGCATATGCTGGTAGTATATGCTTGCATTGGGTCTATTCCATCTTGCATCTGTTTGACAAAGTACATGCCATAATGTTCTTGAGCTCGATGAAGTTGTATTTTGTAGAAGTTTCTAAACCCAAGATTAGTGTTACAAATATGTTTTTGGGTACATATGAGGAAGTATGGGCTTTAGAGGCTTGTAGATAGTGGAGATGATGACCGTATATATCGAGGTCCAAGCCATTAAATTTTAGCGTCTGTTCACCCAACATTTTATAATTCTCTTGCTATCATTCAACCTCTCAAGAATACTTCATTTTTGATGGAACTTTTGATTAATAGCGCGAGGTAATTGATATTGGAAATCTACAATCCACGGATGTCCACACCCCCCAGCCCCTTACAACCTGCTGAATCCTACAGCTCATCTCCTTTAAAGATCCTAGCGTCTAGTTGCCAAAACTTCAGATCACAAATATCCTAACCCCTCCGCGTAAATCCCATGCAAAAATTGGTATGTCAAAGTAGTTGGTCCACGGATTCGAACTTCGTGAGCCTAGATTCGTCTCCATTCTAATCTCTGTCCAATTTGACATCCACACCCACATTCACTACCACACACATACCAAAACCACTTCTACACCAGCCCTTCAAAACTCCCCCAAACACATTCCTCAAACGGCACACTCCCATTAATAATCGCCTCAAAAACACTTCTCGCAATCACCTCCGGCAACCTCGGTACCGTCTCATTAGCCTTGGCAACGGCACCTTCAATAACTTCTTGATCTCTACTCGGCACATCCACCGTATCCAATGTCGCTTTGAATCTCGTCGCTTCTCTTACATATGCCGCTCTTTGAGCTAGAAGGCTGAGGAGCTGCGTGTCTATGTCATCAATACCGGCGCGTATTTGGGTAAGAGAATCGCAGCAGAGTGTGCCGTTTGGAAGGAGGAATGAAGGGGTGCCCCAGGGGATAGAGCGCGTGGTATTAGAGAGCGAGGGACAGAGGGTAGGGAGTGGAGAGGTGTAGCATGTCGATGCTGGGTCGGCGGGGGTTGTGGATGTGGCGGTGGTGAGAGCCGAAAGGGAAGACGTCGCGAGGAAAAGAGCTTGGTATGCGCTAGTGAGTTTCATGATAACTTTCAAGCTTATGAGGTTTCTTTTTGAAGACGATTAATGTTAATTGTTTGAAGTTTTGTTCAAGATGATGGTTAAAATGCAGCCACAGTGAAATAAAGATCGGCGCATGTAAACAATGAAGATCGGTTTAGAAGGCAATCTGTGAGGTTTAAGTGTGGAAAAGATGTAGAATTAGAATGGTGCCAAGGGCCAAGATATTGGCTCAGGATTAGCTAATCTAAGCTAAGCTAGTTTAGTAAGTACACGTGATAAAAGTATAACACAATCCATGGAATTGATCAGCAGCAAATAGTAAGACATCGAACCTTTCGAAGCAAAGAAACGGAAAATATCACTCAAGTACGATGGTTGAATGGATAACGTGGTTTATCAGTGAATGATTTATATCAATAAATGGATCACTTATTTTATATATAAAATTCGTTTGTATATAATTATACACTTTCTTTATTTATAGATATAATTTTCTGAAAATTTAATATAAAATATTTCAATATATAAGAATATTAAAAATCTTATTAGTTTTAAGAAATTTGAATTTATAAAGTTGTTATTATAAAAATAGATTTTTTGTAATGAAAATTGTAATAATTTCCTTTTCTTTTTAGGATATAATAAAATTATTTTATAAAAATTAAATTAATAAAAAATCTAGATTTTAATTATTTTTTAAAATCTTTTATTTAAGAAAATAATAATTAGTTATTAAAATATTAATATTTTAAAAAGCTTAATTTAAATAATTTTCGAAATGATTTGTTTACTGATATAATCCACTCACTAATAAACCATGTTAAGTATTATAAAACACATCAAAAAGCGACTGTACTTTTCCTCATATACAAGAGCTCTAATCAATAAAAACATTATACTCTTTTAAAATTAATATAGTAAACTCTAGTATACCAAAATATTATAAAGAAATATCTGAGTGTATTTAATTATATTAAAATCTTATATATATTTTATTTGCTATAATTATTATCTTATAATACTCTTTTTTTATTAATTTTGAATCATTTTTTAATATTTAGATATAAAAAGTAATAATAATATAATAAATAATAATATAGATTTAGTATTTAAGGATATTAATAATAAAATAAATAATAATAAACTAACTTCTTTTACTTTAATAAATTTGAATATTATATTTTTTTAGTATATTTATTTTAAAGAAAATATAAAAAACGAGCTTTTTTATAATAATTTTTAAAGATATTTTCTAAAATTAATTTGAAATAGGGTTTTAAAAACAATATTAAAACAAACTAAATCAATTAATTAAATCTATTTATTTTGATATCCCAGCTATATGTAAGATCAATTAGCGTTTTATATAACTTACTCATTCAATTATTGTATATATATGGCGAGACAGAGTATAAACATGAGATATTCATAGGATTGAAAAATGATTTAAAATAAATGTCAGGTGCTTTTCCACCATTTTCAATAAATTGACAACAGGAAAAATGAAGATTCAATCGTAATTATTATTTACCTCGAAGAAAAAGACAAGCGTCACCTTAATTTATTGAAAAAACAGTACTTTGAATGAAACTTCGAAACAAATACGAAGTTGTATGATCAAATGAGTGTTTCGTGGCCTCGCCAAAATAATCATCACGAAGGGGCTCAATCTTGGCATTTAGATTAGTAGCCGCTTCAGTATTTACCATAATCATCACCAAATCATCACTTTTAAAACATATAATTATCCGTTCTTGATAGATGCCAAGGTAGGCCAAAAAGGTATATTCGAAACGAATAATCTAACATGCGGTGAGCCAACAGCAGTAGCTCTGCAGTTACTTGAACTTATTTACACAAACAGTAAGTCGAACACCCCACTTTTGGGCTACCCCTTTTTTGGGCCACCTCTTTTTTGGGCCACCCCTTTTTTAGGCCACCCCTTTTTTGAGCCACCCCTTTTTTGGGTCACTCTTTTATACCAAAAATCACTTTTTTGATTTATTAATATCTTTATTAATATCTTTATTAATATCTTTATTAATATCTTTATTAATATCTTTATTAATATCTTTATTAATATCTTTATTAATATCTTTATTAATATCTTTATTAATATCTTTATTAATATCTTTATTAATATCTTTATTAATATCTTTATTAATATCTTTATTAATATACAATATAATTTAATAAAAATTTAAACTTATAAAATTCAAGCTATTCCAAATCTATTTTGAAAATTTCAAATGTTTGGGATTTTTCTATATTGAGATTTAGAATTTCAAAATATCGATTTTCAATTTATATAAAAATCACATACAAATTTGAAATTCTATAAAATCTATAATAACTTTTAAGAAAAAATAAATAAAAATAAATTGTAAAGTTTTATAATATATTTATAATATGCTTACTTTGAAAAATTCTGAAAAAATAGAAAATTCCTTATAAATAAATATTTAAAAGAGTACCCTCAAAATTGCAGGGATTATTTATACTATTCTAAACTCACTGTATATTATATCTTTATATCTATTCATTTTTTTTAAAAAAAATTGAATTTCTATATAGGTTCAGATTTTGAATCTTCAGAAATATATACAATTTTCTTTTAATTATTGTTATTAAAAAGTTATTAATGATTATATAAAAGTTTTAAATTTGTATGTGATTTCCATATAAATTCGAAAATCGATATCTTGAAACTCTAAATCTCAATCCAGAAAAATCCTAAAATTCTAAAAATTCTAATATAAGTTTAAAATGATTTAAATTATATAAAAATAAGTTTTTATTAGATTATATTCAATATTGATAGAGATATTGATAAATCAAAAAAGTGACTTTTGGTATAAAAGAGTGACCCAAAACAGGGGTGTGTTACGGAGGTACCCGCACCGCAACATGGATTATAAGATAAACCTCAGGCCTTAGTATCAGAACCTACGAAAACAGTACTGTAGGGATAGAAGGATTAGAGGGTGATTAGAGATAGTAGTAATTAGATAAGTTATTAGTAATTAAAAGATAGGTAACGTAGTTTATCAGCATGTGGCCCATATCAGCATGTGGGCTATTTGAAAACACACCAAAATTAGACCTTTTTCAATATTCTTATTTTAATAATCAATTATTATTTTGGAAGATAAAAAGAGTATTAAATAATTATAAAAAAGCAGTCTCTTAATAATTCAATTTTAATATAAAAATTTCTATTATATTTCAAAAAAAGTGGAAATTGTTATGATATCCGTTACAAAAATATTATTCTTATAATAACTATTATAATAATTCTAATTTCCAATAAATGATTTAATTATTACAATATTTATATAATCAAATATTCAAATTTTATAATTTTATAAAATTTTATTATTAAATAAAGAAAGTGCATGGTTATATATAAACGAATTTTGTATGTAAAAAGGGGTGGGCCACATACTGATATGAGCCATATGCTGATAAACCACGTTATCTATCTTTTGTTGGCATTTACTTTATAGTAGGTATAAAATATTCAATAGTTACAGATTATTTAGTAAGCATAGGTTGGATAGCAATCGCCATTTATTTAATAAGTATAGGTTAGTTAGTAGATATAGGTTAAATAAACAATAGCCTTATTAGGAATCACAGGATAAATGTTATATAATTGAAAGCCAATCGATTTATCAAGTCAATCAATTTATCGATCGATTTTAAGAAATGAAGATTTATATAAGGGAATGGGTTTATTACAATGTAAAGCTTTGTATTTAAGATAATTATTAGTTTTATATTATAGTTATAAGAATTGCAAATAGTTATAATCTTATTGAATTCCTATTTGAAGTCTAGTCTAAATCATTTCGAGAGATCTCTAGACACTTCCACGTGACCCTAGAGGCAGCTCCCGTAACAGGGTGGCCTGAAAGTAGGGTGATCGACTTATAGATTTATTGAAATATTAAGTTATTATTCAATACAATTTAATATCCTTAAATAGATAGGAATAATAAACAAATTAATTAGATTATTAAGATTATATTCTCATATTATTTTAATATTCTAAATAATATTTTATAATAATTAATAACTCTATCTCATTTATTTATAGTATTATTAAATTCAATATTTTAAGATAACGTGATTTATCATCGAGTAGACTATATCATCGAGTGGGCCACTTCAAAATACATCAAAATTAAGGCTTTTTGAATATTTGTATTTTAATAACTAATCATTATTTTAGAAAAAGAAAAAAAGATTAAATAATAATAAAAGATAAGTTTTTTAAAAATCTAGTTTTTATATAAATATTTCCATTTTATATTAAAAAAAGTGAAAATTGTTACGATTTTCGTTACAAAAAAATATTCCTAATAATAATTCTTATATTAATTCGAATTTCTAATAAATAATGAGATTTTTGTAGTATTTATATAGTTGAATTTTATAATTTTAATTTTTAAAATTTTTTATCAATAAATAAAGAAAATGCATAGTTACACACAAACGAATTTTGTATATAAAAATGATGGCCCACTCGATGATATGATTCACTCGATGATAAATCACGTTATAGATATTATTATTATTATAGTAATATATAAATCTAGGATTAAAAAGCCTCTTAATATTATAATAAAAGTAGTTATAGAATTATTAGAAATATCATTTTAAAAAACTAGATTCGAATTTATAATTGAACAAATAGTTGAAATATATCTAATAGAGTTTACTAATAATACTAATTATAAGTCAATGATAATTGAAATAATCAATACTATTAAATTTATAATTATATTTATAAAATACTATTTCAATTAATAATATAAACCTATACTTTTTAAAATTAGGGATTATATTTCTTTAAGATTATATCAAGAATATAATATACCTGGTATTATAAATAGAAATATAAAAATCAAATAGCAATTTATAAGTTTATTTAAAATATTAGAAAGAATTGAATATTTAGCTTATTGAATTGAATTATTCAAATATCACGAAGGGATAGCTATGTCGATTGGTTACTC